TGCCAACTTTCAGCGCAATCGGCCAAGTAGTTACCGAGATATTGCAACAATTACAAAACTGACACCTCTTCGTTTTGCACGTGGCACGTGCATAAGGGGTCACCCAAATGCATCGGGAATAGTCCAATACTTGGTAGAAGGAATGAAGCTACCCTACAAAAATTACCGCATGTAAATCGGTCAAGTGGTTGCTGAGATATAAGCCTCGCAAAAGCGTCCGCACGGCCGGCCGGCCGCTCATACAGGGTTGGGCAGATAAATTGGGACAAAATACATATTTGCATTCAGAACGCCGTAGCTTAGAAATTTGTAAACGTAGGCATTTCAAATTTGGATCACATATTGTCACACCAATTTTACACATTTATCACCAAATATGATCACTGTGGTCCACCTGCATCAGTCCTTATCGGTGCCTGGACTGGCCGCACGCGCGGCGAGATCTCCCTTCTGAAATGGCTCGTAATTGTAGCCAACTGGCACTGCTGAGACTCACCACAGTCACATGGGGACGTTCGTTAGACTCGGCCGCAAAAACGCCCCAGCAACCAGAACTTGTGTGGGCGGAGGTTTAATGAGGGAGGGGCCATTTAGCCTTGGGTACAGTTTCCGGGATCCTCCGTTTCAGGAGATTTTGTATTTAATTTACTGTATGCCGGGGAGCTGACTCCTCGAAGAGCATCACTCCATGCAGGATGATGCCTTCTTCCATCTTGTTGATTCGAACTGCCGGAATAATGGTTAGGTACGCTGTAAGGACGAACCTCCTCCCGATTCCGTAAAATAAGGGGGCCCCACGTGGCCGTCAGAAGTCACCGAGTGGAATGCCATCACCGAGGTCTGCTGCATGCTTTTTGGAACTAAGATCACGTCTTCTGGGCTGGTTGCGATGTTTCATGGTGTTTGCGGTTGTTCATATGTTCGGTTATGGGGATACCATCGTCGAAAAAGACCTGCACGTGCTTGCTCGCTTCTCCAAAGCCCTTCAAGAGGAAACAATATTTTTAACGTCACAGCTGCTTCAACATCTATGTTAACATGTCGATATGCATCAATGCATAAGAGTACATGTTTGAGGTGCTGGTATATCGCTTTCTCATGGCGCGGCTACCTTCGTTGTAAGCTCGCGCCACTGTTTTCGCGAGGATCCTCTGATTTAACTGAATTTTGCCTTTTAACCCCCCTGGAAAACCGAGGGAGCGGCCGGTGTCAATGCAATAAGTATGTAAGGATGAGTCAACATCTTCTCTTCCTCCAACGTTTACGTCTGTTCGATACACACTACTTTCAGCCATTTGATGGAGCATAATTAGAGTATTGGCATGCATGTGGGCGCGGACTAAGTTGATAGTGACTTGCTTAAGCCCACGTTCTGTGATCAGTCGATTCAAAATTACAGCGCAACCTGCATAACATCGAAAAGTATTCATTAGCCTATATTTACGTTCAAAAATTATCTTAATCACTCAAAAAATAGTCGTTTTAGAGGAAGTTGAAATTTGTCCCAATTTATCTGCCCAACCCTGTACTCAGAAATTTCCGTTAATCTAAGGAAAGACTACGCTCGCTTCGCTCGCTCCGTAATCACATGGTAAATAAATAAGCAGTTTCTGGTTTAGCAACAGTTTCACGCTTCTCACGCTCAAAAGGCACGTCCTGTTGAGCCTTTTTGCAAAATTGCTCATTGCTCAATGCCCTGATAGAATATCTGAACTCCGGAATCAATGTCGGTTCCGGAGTCGGAATGTTTTTAGATACTCTGACTGAAGTAAATGCCTACTGAATTTCTTCGTTGTATTCAAGACTCGTAAGCAACCTGTCAACGGTAAATCGCGGGCATGAATCCGTCCCGTGGAATTGCGCGACGCCAGAAACGTGCCGACCATAGGCGTAGGAACAGGGGGGGCCAGGTGGGCAAGTGCCCACCCACTTTTCGAGGTGGGGGGCCAACCATGTGTTTTGGCCCACCCACTTTTTACTCGAGGCCCCTTGTCTCGATTTGAGAGGACGTCGTCACCTTCCAGAATAAACAAACTCGGTAAAAATAAGTTCCACGAATCCCCACGCACGGACTCTCAAGGGGCAGTGATGGATCCAAGGAGGCCATCTGTACATACTTGTCAGTCGAAGCCCCTGAGACTGATGGCCTGAGAGACCTTAGTGGATCTGAGGAGGCCCCAATATCCACACTGGTCTGGGGAGGCCCCTGACACTGGCGGTCTGGGAGGCCTCTCTATCCATACTAGTCAGAGGTCTGAGACTGGTGGTCTGGGAGGCCCCTCCATCCACACTAGTCAGAATAGGCCCCTGACACTGGCGGTCTAGCCGAGGCCCCCTACCCTCACTAGTCAGAGGAGGCCCCTCTATCCGCAATAGTCAGAAGAGGCCCCTGAGACTGCTGGTCTGGGAGGCCTATCCATCTACACTGTAGTCAGAGGAGGCCCCTGAGACTGATGACCTGAGAGGCCCTTATAATCACACCACGCAGAAGAGGCCCATGAGACTGATTGACTGAGAGGCCCTTCTATTCATACTGGCCACAGGAGACCCCCAAAACTTTCGGTCTGGGAGGTCCCTCAATCCGGCACCAGTCAGAAGAGTCCCCTGAGACTGATGGCCTGGGAAGCCCTTATATTCACACTAGGCAGAGGAGGCCCCTGAGACTGATGGTATGAGAGGCCCTCATATTCACACCAGTCAGAAGAGGCCCCCGAGGCTGATGGCTGTGAGGCCCTTCTGTTCATATAACTGGCCACTGGAGGCCCCTGAAACCGATGGTCTGGGAGGGCCCTCTATCCACACTAGTCAGAAGAGGCCCCTGAGACCGATGGTCTGAGAGGCTCTTATATTCATACTGGCCACGAGAGGCCCCTGAGACTGGTAGTCAGAGAGGTCCACTCCTATTGAATCTAAGGGGGCCCTCTATCCACATTTACACTTTTCTAGGGAGGCCCCCGAGACTGATGGTCTGAGAGGCCCTTTTATTTATACTGTCCACAGGAGCCCCCAGAGATTAATGGTCTGATAGGCTCTTCTTTTTATGCTAACCAGAGGAGGCCCCTAGGATTGATGGTCTAACAGGTCCTTCTATTTATACTAGCCAGAGGAGGCCCATGAGACTGATGGTCTGAGAGGCCCTTCTATTCAAACTAGGCAGATGAGGCCCCTGAGAATGATAGTCCGAAGAGCCATGCGGCGGTAACTGACCGTGGCCATATTTCGGCTCGGTAGGGCCCCACAGAGCTCATGAGAGCACCTCAAGGGCTCCTAAGTAGACACGCTTATCCCCATAAGGGTGGCATAAGGGCTTCTGAAGGCTCCTTGTAGGCATCTAAGGGCCCTTTCCGGCCTCTAACGGCTCCACCCGCCTGTGATGGCTCCCCACCAGTGTTTATGAGCGCCACACAGCGGCGCCTTTGAGGGTCATACAGACTAGTGTCTCCTAGGGCCCTATATCGGTGGCTCTCGGGGCCCCACACCGGCGCCTCTGTGGGCCACCACACCTGTGCATCTCAAGGCTCTACAGGTACAGGTCTCGCGGGTTTTAGCGGTAGGTTTTGCACCTAGAAAATTTAGTGTACTTCAGGCTATATCTTCGTCGTCTTAAGCTTTTAAGTGTTGAAGATGCGATCGACTTGTTGGGTAACAAGCCGGCCATGACCGTGTAAAATGGCTTCATCGTAGATCGATTAGTTTCTGAGATATAACCGGAAATGTAAAAGTGCAAAACCTACCGCTTAATCTCGCGAGACCTGTACATCTGAAGGACCCACTCCGACACCTCTGAGGGCCCCACACCAGTGTCTCGGAGCTCTGAAGGCCTCACACCGGTGACTCTGAGGACTCACCGGCTCCTGAGAGCACCATGTTGATGTCTAACGGCTCCACAAGGCCACTGAAGGCACCACACAAGCTCTCACTGAGCTCTAATGTCCATGTACCTACCGGCCTCTGAGGGATTTAAGCAAGCGCATTCATAGCTCCACACCAGCAATTGTAAGGGCTTCACACTGAAGTATCTGAGGGTTCCACACCGGTGCCTCTAAGGGCCACATACCGGCATCTCTGAGGGCCCCATACCGGCGTCTCCGAGGGTCCACATCTGGCCGGCACCCATCAGCGACTAAAGGTTCCACACTGTCGACTCCGAGAGCCCCATCTGCGTCTGGGAGCACCATGCCGTCTCTAATAAGAACCACAGCGGCTCCTCCGTACGAAAGATGGGCGTCTGCATGCCAAAGGGGAGCGGTTCGGAGACAGAAGGGCACCTACGTGCAATAGAGGGGCGCCTATGAAGCCCATATGCGAAACAGGGGCGGCTCTGAGGCCTACATATATGGGCGTCCACATGCAATAGAGGTCTGCAAGACTGCAACTGATCAATGCCATGGGGGTGCATTCATGAGAAACAGGGGCGCCGGCATGGCAAAGAGAGGCGCCTTCAAGTGTCCATAAAAGAGAGACGCCTATGATAAGCACACATTGTATGCGACAACGAGGACAACGACAACGGACTGTGGGACATATAGGGATGTCTCTGATGACTATACATAGGGCGCTTATATGCCAAAGAGGGCGCCTATGAAGCTAATGGGGGCACCTGGGAAACGAGGAAGACATTTGTGTAAGGGTTTTCAGGGGTCATGCGCCGTTTTCGGCAAATAGATTCTGAAAAAAAATCGGAGGGGGAATAAGTTTTAAAAATAGTGCGGACTTTCCGCAGTCCGCACTGTTCGCTTAAGCGGTTACGCCCCTGGGTACATCTGCCCGATCTCAGAAGCTAGATTTGGAGGTCATACTTGAAAGCAGCCAGCAGGACGAGGCAAAAGTTGGAGGCCCCTGAAAATAGGAGGCCCCTTGACAGGGTGGCCCGCCCACTTTTCATGACGTTCCTACGCCCGTGGTGCCGACGACTCATGGCCATGCGCCAGTCGGTGCCAGCGCTACCGCTAACAGCAACTCAGGAACACAGGCACACGGCCACGCATCCAGACAAAATACGTTTTTTGGATGTTTATTTTGATGAGAACCGGCGAAACTAGCTATGCATGTCAAAACTAACTGATGATAAAATGTGATGATGAGCAGCCGCAATAAGACTGCTTTATTAGCGCGATGAGCGTCCCTTGTCGCGCTGTGGCGGACGGCGCAGATGAAGGCGGTCTCGCTAAATAAATAGGCCCGATCGATGGGCCGGCCGTTCCGGGTGGACGGACGGCGATGATGACGGTGCTGTCACCCCTCCCGCCCCCTCCAGTCTTCAGTTGATCACTGTACCGACCCACTACCCTCCAGAACAACTGTCTTAGTGTTTGTACACGCACGCGTGCACCAGAGGCGCACACGCAGGAGCACGTCGCGCACTCCGCTTTACTCGTCGTCCTCCTCATCGTCGTCATCGTCGTCTTCCTCTTCATCTTCCGCAGCGTTGCTGGCAAGACCACTCTTGTACGCAGCCATCTCCTGAAAAGGTTATCAAACCGTGTTACCACGAATCTCGGGAGGAACTGCGCAGTTACGATAAAGCATCGCTAGAAAATGCTTGGCCATAATTTAATCGGTTTTATTGATAAGTCGGCCATCCAATTAACTGTTTAGTTAGATACTGAGCGAATATTAACGTGCAACGTCCAGAGCATCACTAGACATCGCATTTGGATCAACCATAAAGTGATAACAGTACAAGATAACAGTAATAGCAGCATCAAAATTTAGCCGAGCTCTCGACCATCCAGCTATTATGACCGGAAGCGGTTAGCTAAACGGTAGGTACGCCTGCGATGACTTACCCGGGCGTACCGCGCCTTGTCCTTGTCAGCCATGGCTTCGTATTTGGCCTTCACGGACTCGTCCACCTCAGCCCACTTCTTGCCCAGGGATTTGGCGATGTCGCCGACCGTCGAGTCGGGATTCGCCGCCCTCAGCGCCGGCCGCTCGTCGTTGCAGAACCAGAAGAAAGCCGAGAGGGCACGCTTGGGAGCGTTCGGGTCCTTGGGCCTGCGCTTGCCCTTGCCCTTCTTGCCACCGCCAGGGGGAGGGACGTAGGTCTTCATCTCTGCCTCGTAGCGAGACTTGTCCTTGTCGGCCATGTCCACAAAGCGCTTCTTCTCCTTGTCGCTCATCACCTGTCGAACAGCACAGAATTCGGTAAATATATTATAATTGATCTCTACAGTGGTTGACAACGAACACTTTTAATAAACCAATATTATAAATCATAATATAGATAAGATTGCAAAGGGCGGTAGCCGCTTGATCATGTTCCGTCCGTACGCAGATTTAAGCGAAACGCACGAAAGCGGTTTGTACACCGCTGGAGCTGTTAGTTCCATTTGCCTATGACAGGAAGGCACTGTTTTTATCTCGAACAGAATGCTGTTTAAAACTACTTTGAAGTCGAAATGAAACCGATTAGGCGATAAGTGCAAAATTTGGGCGTCATTGCATTAAAATAAAACGAAGATCAGCTTAAGCATTGTTGTCCATGTGAAACTTCCATAAGAACAGCAAAATGTCAATTCAGCCAGAGATCCCTAGCGTTACTTTAATCTTCATCGCACATCTAAATATTCATTTTGTCAAGCCAGAGTGCTTATTACGGAGCGAGCGAAGCGAGCGGAGTCTTACGTAGAATAACGGAAATTTCTGAGTATGAGCGGCCGGCCGGCCGGCCGTGCGGACGCTTTTGCGAGGCTTATATCTCAGCAACCACTTGACCGATTTACACGCGGTAATTTTTGTAGGGTAGCTTCATTCCTTCTACCAAGTATTGGACTATTCCCGATGCATGTGGGTGACCCCTTATGCACGTGCCACGTGCAAAACGAAGAGATGTCACTTTTGTAATTGTTGCAATATCTCGGTAACTACTTGGCCGATTGCGCTGAAACTTGGCATGTAGGTAGGCACCCACTAGGCACTGCATATCCATGTGCCAGAATTGGGGTGCTGCTGCACGTGCGCACGTGCAGGAGTCGTTTCCAGATCTCGAGAACGGCTGAACCGATTGCGCTCAAATTTGGTACACGGTTAGGGACCAGTTAGTCGGGTGCCGTGCACAAGTCAGTTAGGACCCATTTAGCACGTGCGCACGTGCAGGGTGCCGCTCCCAGATCTCGAGAACGGCTGGACCGATTGTGCTCAAATTTGGCACATCGCTAGAAACCGGTCAGTAGGGTGCCGTGCACAAGTCAGTTGGAGGTATCCCCTCGAAATTTCGCACGTGCAAGACTCACCCCCTCGCTCGCTCCGTTAGTCGCCCCAAAAGGCGCTATACTGGTTTATTGAGTCGAGACATCCCTCAATAAACAAGCAAGAGTGCTTGTTTATTGAGAAAATCGGATTTTGTGAACGGGCGTTTGAAATGTTTGAAAACGAGACGTACCTTCCAGCGTTCAGAGCACTTCTTGGAGAACGCCGCGAAAGCAATAGCTTCATTAGGGTGCTTCTTGCGGTGCTCCTCCCGGCAGGTCTGCACGAAGTACGCGTAGGACGACATGCGTCCACGCGGCTTGTCGGCCTTCGCGCGAGGCATCCTTGCAGATGTTCTGAACTGAAACGAGAAACGCTGTGACTGAAAGGAACTATTGGCCAAATTGAATGAACACGATTGAACTTACACACTTCGCAATGTCCCACGTAGTATCTGCTTGCAGATACTACGATACGTCTTTGAGCTGTTAAAATAGACTTAAAGGATACGATAGTATCGCATCTGCTTGCATATGCATGCTGGAGTTTGGGAGCGCGTCAACTGCGGAGTCATTGTGCACCTTATTTAAAAGCATAATAGCCCCGAATGCATTATAAAAATAGGCTCCTATCATTTTCAAATCATATTTGGCTACTCTACGTAACGATCCAGCTGTGCCACGCACCCAACCGGTCCGTGGCGCCACCCGTTCCTGCCGGCGTCCGGCCGGCCGACCCCTCGTCCGACCGCCAGCCGGCGCCGGACGTCATCACCTGCGCCGGCCGCCCGGCCGCCGTGTGGCGGCCACGCACCGACTGCCGACCGCCCCAGCCCCGTTCCCAGCACCGTGTCGGCCGCTCACCAACCACCGCTGGCGCCGGCCGCCGGCCGAGGGAGCGGCCCCGGCCCCGGCGCCCGGCCGAGCCAAGTCGGCCCGCGCCGGCTCACGCTCGTCACAGCCCGAGCCCCGACAGCGCCATGTTGGATTCTCGGGAAAATGTTGCGCTAGCTGACCTTGCACAGGCTAGACAGACTGAACAACACCCATACTCCACCCAAAAACCTAAAATATCACAAGCAAAACGGGTGAGCACAGGGCCACAGAGGCATGGTGCCAGGGTACCCCAGGCGATCGTACAAAAAATGTTATTTTCTCATTGTTTGAACAAAGAAAATGTCGGCAGACGCCATTCACGAACGCTCAGATACGACCTCAACCGCGGAAAACCCATCCGATCCCCTGCCGTTCACCTGGGTGCATTATATTCCGTATCCAATATACCCAGCACGGCTACGGCAATAGCCAAAGCATGGGAGGCAATGGCATAGGCCCGACCACGGCCCGACAGGCCCACGTACGATGGATTCCCAATGCCCAACAGCAAGCTCGACCGGTTTGGGGGACCCCGTTCGGGCAGGAATATTCCGGCAAAATAGCATTGCCCACATTCAAAAATGCCTTCACCAGATCAACAAATGTCGAAACTATCTTCCTTAAATCTAGGAACACATAAATTTATCTCAAACAAAAGAAATTCGAAAAACAAAAACACCCTCGGCTTGGCCGTCGCTTTCACAATGGCAGCCATGCTAACGCAATGGGAGTGGTGTCCAGCGTCTCCCCTTGAAGAAAAATCCGAAATAAAATAGGAACTTCATCACAGACTAAACCAAAACAGTGCATATGGGTAGACGAATAATTGAAATATCGTATGCTCAAATAAAAACAGGGGGTATAATGTAAAATTTCACTTACCTGATGCCTTTCTCCGCAGTAAAATTAACACGCAACCCTATGGAGCCTCCGCCGCACAACAGCCGGGCATACGCTGCGTGGAAAGCCAACGGGCCAATACTCGGCTCCTGATTGGTCGATCTTCAAATGCCCCGCCAGCGCTAGCGAATCAGACGTCAGGAATGTTAACGTAATGAATATAGTGCTGGTACAACGATATAGGATGGGTTTAGAAAGATTTTACCGTAGTGATTGATCAACTATTTCAAACAATAAATGGTCAATGCATGTCGATAGCTGCATTTTGTTGTCTTTTGTCAAGAGTATGGACGGCAGTCTAGTTTCTCTCCTCGTTAATGTTCATCCGCAGATCTGCAGGCAAGCTGCTTCGCTGCTCGGCAAGTAATTTGGATATTGAAAGTATGACTTTGTATGTTTGATAAATGTATTTTCCAATTTTCATTGCATTTTTTTATCATATCCCTGAGACCCAAGAGAGGATTTGAAAATAGCGATGCTTTTTGTTAGCAGCTTTCAACAGAGACCTTCTATGATGACATCTAGCGGCAAAAGCTATAACATTAAGTACAGCTTATCACCGAGGAGGGATGGGGAGACTTAGGGGAGACCGGGAGGCGGGAGGGAGAGACTTCCGACAGATACTTCAACACGGGACATTCGCATTCACTTTCAATAGGAGTAGCTATCCACCACCGTTACGTCATTTCCCATCCTCAGGTGACATTCAGTTCAGATCCTTCTGCAGGGATGCCGAGCCGTGGAAATTTCAGACGGCTCCGGCTGGCGGCTCCGGCTCCGGCTCGCCGCTCGGAGAAAAAAAAAATCGGCTCCGGGTGAAATGCCATGACGGCTCCGGCTCCGGCTCCGGCTCCGAGTAAAATGGTCCGGCTCCGGCGGCTCCGGCTCCGGCTCCGGCTCCAATACTTATGTACATCCCCTATCGGGTGGAAGAAAAAAGACGATGGGATTGGTGCACGTTGCTTCTGTATTTGCATAACAAGGCTATTATCATATTTTGAATACCGGATATTTTACTGCCTTGAACTGTCAAACCGAACTATGTCAATTGACCGCTCCGGCTCCGGGCTATATTGTTTCAGTTTTCACGGCTCCGGGTCCGGCTCCGGGCAAAATATGCCGGCTCCCAGGGGCGGAGAATTGTCATAATCCCAGGGGGTGCTTTTCAGTTGCTTTTCAGCACCTTGCGAATGGAAGCGTCGAATTTTTGCGTAGAAAAGCATATATAAGTACCTACGCTTTCCCAAACGCATCACTCTTATCGCGGCTTAGGTACGCAAAGCAGTTTGTTTCTCAGACGTAATTTAGGCAGCCACTGGAGCACTTTTGTATGGTGACCCCTGACCTATGAATTTCAGGGGGTGCTCGAGCACCCCCAAAACCCCTAACCCGTGCCGGCTCCGGCGGCTCCGGTTCCAGCTCCGGCTCCGGCAGCTGGCTCCTCACCCCTGTCTCAAATTCCGTGCTCAGCTATGCTATATATATAGTCGACTACAGAATGATGTTCCACTTTTCACATACCATTATTTGCCTGGCGTGGTAGGCTGTGCCGCATCACACGGGCTGAGTTCACAAATTATAGCTTTGTCTCAATGCTCACAATCGACACGCTTAATTGCGTGATAAACGGCACAACTTAGCGCTCCGGTTAACTGATAGCTTCTGCCTTATGAGTGGAACATCATTCTGTAGTCGACTACATATACGGTCACGGGTCATGCCTTTATCTGACGTGGTTAGGTAGGTAGGCTCCACAGGAGCAATGGGTATGTACATTCGTGCGCGGTGGTGTCCGTGTGGCCGTATTCGCACAGCCCACTCATCGAGTTTCGCATCAATAAAGTCCGAACAAATCAGGGCCTCGGCTAACATGTTAACTGGTGGGCCAAATGGCCCACCAGTGACCCGAAATGGCCCACCAGCCTCAAAGATTTGGCCCACCAGTAATTTTCCGAAAAATCTAAGTTTTCACATTTTTCACATTTCAAATTGAATTAGCAGATTTTATCGTACATTTTCAGGCTGTAAAGTACCCATCGGTGAAACATATTCTTGTGAAAAAAAAACTTCAACCTGTTGTTTGCAATATCCTCTTGGGGTAAAAAGTGAACTATAGTGGACTATGTAAGTGGACTAAGCCTCGGTCACACTTCACCGAATTGGACCAATGGACGAGAAACGGACGGCGTCCGGTGATGTCCGGGGGATGTCCGTTCGTTTCCATTGGACGTCCGTTTCTCATCCGTTCATATCCGTTCCATGTCCGGTGGTGTCCGGTGTGCTCAACCGGACACCACCGGACATGGAACGGATATTAATGGATGACAAACGGACGTCCAACGGAAACAAACGGACATCATCGGACGCTGACAGTTCTCGTCCGTTTCTCGTCCGTTGGTCCAATCCGGTGAAGTGTGGCCGAGGCTTTAAATTTTATGCAATAATCGCGAAAGACGTCTGCCTCTGTCATTTACAGATAGTGTCGGCGGCTTGCATCCGATCGAGGTCTGCGAGAGTTCTTGCAAGCTTTCCGATCGATCGAGTGGTTGCAGTCACATAAGCATCTGCCGCAGATCAGTCGGTTACAAGAAAAGCTACGAATAAAGAACAGACCAGTTCAGACGGTCGGGGATAAGCCTGCGAGCGATCTCAGACGGCTCGCCGATAGACACGATATAAGCCAGAGTCAAACTAGAGGTAGTGTCGGCGACTTCCAGCCGATTGAAGTCTGCAAGCGATATTATGCGTCTTCACGACCGGTATGATGCTTGCAGTCACACATCTGACCAGTTGGACGAATTTCGAACCGTTCACAGTCAGCGTTCCAAAAATTTCTCAACTTAGTTTTTTTAAAGAAAATATCAGGGTTACGCAGTGCGCTTGGGCTTTTGAGTCAATTATTTTCCATGCGACACCAATAGGCTTAATGATCATTTTCAGAGATGTTGGGGTTGCTGCTACAACCCCCTTTTGGGGTTCCTGCTACAACCCACTTTAGGTATATATAACGTTGCACTCGTGCTGTTCACAATTCCTCCCGATCCACCCAACAACGCCCGATCCCGTCCGACCGCTTCCGAATCTCCGACTAGTCGGCGAGCGATCCACTCACGGCCGTAAGTTATCGTCCAAAGTTGTATAATCTGCGTCGACAATATTGTGTGCATACTTGTGCCACGGAATATATAGTCTTAATTCTACGACATGTCGATATGTACTACGATGTGTCGTAGACTATATATTCCGTGCTTGTGCGATTTTATGTGCACCGCGGGAGTATCACCACTGAGAGGGTTGTGGGTCCCAACTCTCTCCTCTCTCTCTGAAGAGTCGGGGGGTCGAGCCCCGTTTTTTTTTTTGCATTTTTTGAATGCCATCCTGACGTTTTTTGCAGAATAAAGTGGCCGAAATCTGGGGAGAAATCGAAAATTGGGGGGGGGGGAGCTATGGCTACGAAGGTCAGTCCATGTCGCTGCCCAAGTGGCCCACCAGTCAAAATTCCTTAGCCGAGGCCCTGGAACAAATTGAGCTTGCGAGTCGAGAAAGCCACCAATGGACTCGAGAAAACTTGCGAATGATTTGTGATGTGACCTCCTTCGACCAGCTTCGCGACCTGAGTCGCTCTGACCTGACCTTGACCTGAGCTCAACATTTAACACCTAGTTGACCTTATCCAAACAAAAAAGCAAATCATTCGACGACGCGTCTGGTGAAAAGAACGCGAATAAAATTGTAAAAAGTACACCAAAAGTATAAAAGTATGAAAAGTATATTATTCATTCGACGCGCCTGAGCGTGAAGAACGCGATGGTGCCAAAATTGTGGCTCTGCGATCATTTTTGACAAAGTACCTAATGACCTTGGGGCCTGGCCTCAGATGACACCGGTTGACCTGAGGGCTGAGACCTTAAATTGGCTACCAATCGCTGTGTCTTGTAACGGCGCACTCGTTGTTTTCTGCGAGACTCTACTCAGTAGCTGAGGCGAAACGGCGACTAAGGGATCTAGGTAGCCGATGAGATCCTCATCCCTCATTTTTGACATTTATTTCCTTTCATCGTCTTCCGACATCAACATTATGCGACAAGCGTAGTCGGGATCGATGGTTTCGGCACTGCTGACCGGATCAAGTCGGTTTTGTAAGGATGGTAGCGAATGTCGGGCTGCCCCCCCCCCCCACCCCACCCATCCACCTATAGCGCCGTTCGGTATTATAATATCAACACGGGCCCGTCGGTCTAAAACTACCATGTTTATGTGTAAAATAAGAACAACGTAGCGGTGCGGCGGTGCTTGTGGGCGAACGTTGTGTAGCCTGCAGTCGAGTTTGGAGCAGAATCTTCCCGGTATATGTACATATATCTGCGCTCTGCTGCTATGTTCGTAGTGCGGGCTTTATGATGCCCAGCGGTCATTTCAGTTGGCGGCGACGTCCTCGTTGTTTACTTAGATCAGCAAAGCACGCCACGCGAGCGGCGGCGGTGCCAGGCTAAAGTTCAAGGTGTGGGCTCCGATCGAGCCTCCACTTCTGAGCTTATCTGGTGTCAGTGGTCGGCGGCGAATCTCGGTCCGAGGAGTGTAAACGGCGCCCCGGGTCGACTGGGTCGCGGACGTCGCGGGGTCGCACTACGCCCGGCTGAGACAGTCCAGGGGTGAACGGCGTGCACAGGCAGTGTTCGGCCGTCTCGCGTGCCGCCGAGTGGTGACCCGCGGCGGAACCATGGAGCGATCGGTGGTGATTACCCTGGATAATCAGCTGACCTCGGAGGCATCACAACCACCTCGGTGAGAGCTAACCTGCCACTTACCTTGCCGCACGAGTCAGTCGTGACCAGGGGCGCGGGAACTATTGTCAGATTGGGGGGAAGGGGGCACACCATAATAGAGATAAGCCTAGAGTAGCCCGAAATGTAGTTTTTCACCGGTTTTAGGCCATTTATTTTTCATCCCTTAGATTTTTCAACAACAAAAAAAAAAACATTTGCATAAAAGTACGGTATTTCGTCTCAAAGTTGCAGGGGCACCGCCCCCACGGCCCCAGAGTTGGGGGGGGGGCAAGCTGCCCTCACTGCCCCCCCCCCCCACGCCTATGGACTATGATCATGACCTACGGGATGCCGTCATTGCTGATATGCGATGTATAAGTGCGCTGGCACTGCTCGCTACAACGTGGTGACTGGCGACTGAGCATGATGCATTTTTCTTTCTCAGACTATGCTAGCGTGACTGATACTACCTAAACGTAGCTATCTGCGAAATATATCTTTACGTCATGGGACTGTTAGTTTTCAAAGCTGTTCAGCTCCCAGCCGGAAGCAATGAAACTATAGAAGTCTTCGAAGAAGGAATCATGGACATTTCTACGCCTCTTTCGTCAAAAGACGCATTTGGGGCATTCCACGTCAAATCAAACACCGAAATCCGTCATCCCCTTCGATTTTTCTGAAAATTTGTAGGCAGACTGGGCATGGTTCAAAACTGAGTTACGTATAATATTTTCGAAATTTGATAAAGTATCGCTGAGATATAGGTCATCGAATATAGCCAAAAATGCCACACACCAATTTTTCAAATGTCTATAACTCTGGTTCCTTTTCTGGTATCAAAATGATATTAACAGGGTCTGGTAGGCAATTGATAAGGCTTTGATTTTTAATTATAAAATTAAATTGAAGTGACCTTGAAATGCATTTGACCTTGAATTACAACAGAAAAATTTAAATAGCAAAAAACACGTCACCTTCGATTCGGGTAATTTTTACATATTATGTCCGTCACAATGTTCCTAACCATCTGTGAAAAAATTGGAGTGGGCCATTCATAACTCTCGCGGCAAACGCCGTTTTCATGCATCAACATCACGCAACCGCGCGTGACCTTGAAAGACAGAGTCAAGACATGCTTGCTTGTGTACACTTTCTGAAATGAATGATTGCTGATTTTAGTGATATCCCAAACTCTGCGAGAATGGAAATACATAATAATCGTAGTCAAGCATTCAAGTTCCATAGTAAAAGTGTCTCAGGCAAACGGTATTTTGCGGTGAATTTTGAGCCGTGTGGAAATGCATCATGAAGCCAAAAATTCAATGAAAACATTATCACGCAACGATATCTTCACGCCTTTTTATCTTCACTATACGAAAGAATATACATTTTTGAGTATGTATGGGGAATTTCTAGTTAATCCAATAATAAATATTGGAGTTAGAGACCTGCTAAGAGTAACATGTCGCCGGCTGAGGCGGGATCGGCCGACGCGGGAAACACAGCAATCACAATTTTGTGTTTACACGTTCATATTTCAATTGTTTACCAACTGATTTTCAATATTCTTACACCATAAGATTGCCTGTACATTTCTTAGTCTTCTCACAAAATTTGACGCGAATCGAACGTAATCAGCGGTAAGGAGCGCGATGTAAAGACGGAACCGTTCCGTTCCGTCCCGGCACAGTCTACAATTCAGGCGGCGGCTAGCGGTCGGCGCCGGCTGCCGAGTCGCCGCGTCGCCGCGGCGACAGGATGTTCACTTTACACCGCTATTACTAGACCAGTTGTGAACCGATTTTCTTCTTGCTTGCACGATGAGATGTGCAATTCAATTTTGGACAGGTTGCTGTAATTAATTTCGCATTAATACTATGAGATATTGGCGGAAAACAGGAGGGGTGGGGCGAAATTCACTCTTCCCCCTCCACTGCGCGTGCTAACATACGTTTGCATATGTGCCATTTTCTTCAAAACTTATGAATAGCCCACTCTAATTTTTTCACAGGTTGTTAAGAATATGGTAGGCAATAAAATATATGAAAATTAGCCAAATCGAAGGTGACGTGTTTTTTGCTATTTCAATTTTTGTGCTTAAGAACAGAGTTAAGCAAATTTCAAGGTCATATAATTAAGTAGGTGCAATTCTAAACAAATGCTTAAGAAATTACCTAAACAGTAAGGTTTATTTCATTCAAATCACACAAGTACAGCCAAAGTTATGGTCGTTCAAAAATATAAAGATGCAACATTTTGTAAAAATTTGATGCCCTATATTTAGAAGACCTGAGGCCATTATTATAAAATAAAATCGAGACACTGGCTGCAAATAAAAATCGAGCCGAATAAAGCAGCCGGCTGCTTTTCTCATTATTATAAAACTCACGCGTGCTTCATTTTTACGCATCTTCCGGCTCATTATTTGGCTGCGAAAAATGAGCCAAAAATGTATGATGTCATACTTCAAGTGCTTTATATATTCCATATTATGTGATCATGTGCATAATAATTCCGATTTTTAAAATCTTTTGTATACATTTATGCTTAATGTTTTGATAAAACATAATTGAAGACGTTTTCCGTGTCTTTTGTGAGAAAACTCATGTCACATTTAAAGGTGAATTGATGACAAAAGTTCTTGGGTTATCACAGCGTTCTGTGTTACCTGGTTCAAAACGCGGCATTGTTCATGCTTGGGATTGAGTAATTTAGAGATGTATTTATGAATGAATCGTGCGAACAAGTTAATCGCTCAATTTATTAAAAAATAGCAAAGCTTTAGTTACAAAAGAAGACATGCTTCGGTTAGGAAAATTGCATTTCAACCATCAGTTTCTGGGATTAAGCAAAAGGACAGCCGGATTTCAATGGGATATATATTTTGAACAAAAAGTAGTAACACGAGAAATCTTTCAGCAACATGCATTACAATCGTTGACATTTTGTATTTAAAGACATGATGTGGAGAATTGGAGATGAATTGTGAATTAAAATGAAATCGGACTTACTCCACACCCGATACGACTCTCGCTGACAAAGAATTGTAATACAATTCGAAAGCTCCGACCCAACGAACTCTTGTGGAATAAGTCCGATTTCATTTTAATTCGTTGACATTTTGTGTATTTGAAAGAGATCCGCATAAAATGTCGGCCGTCGGGTTTTCGATCACATTCACGTCTAGTATTGAGTGAAAATCAATAAAGACGTAACCACTGGCGGATCCAGAAAGCCTCGGACGCGGCGGAGGGTATACGCCCAACTAATCGAATTTGGATTCCTTACGCAGTACGCACAGCTGTGTAACCAAAGCAATTTTTCATACAAGTTTTTTCGTTTTTCTCTCTATTCTAGAAAAAAATCGTCGATTTCAGGCACTGTATACGGGCATTTGGCCCAAATGCTGGAAATTTGTCCCAAATGCCCTTCCCTTTGCATCCGCCAGGGACGGGAACACACAAGCACACTCACTGCCCCCATGTTTACATTTGCACACTCATTCCATGTTCCATTGTGCTTTACCGTTTTGACTTCTGGTTGACGACCAAGCGAAATCCAGGGACACCAGGCATCGGACATCGACTCTTCACTGAACATCGTGACACCGTGGTAGCGCACTCTGATTCTGCCGGACTCGGTTTGTCTAATAGGAAGGGTATACTAGCGAGTCTGACGGGCCTAGATGGTCATGTTGCTGCCTGGCTTTAGCTGCTAAAGTGCTGAGTTATACATATGCTCTCGGACTAGTAATTAACAAGGACACGTTCCAACATACACGTTCCACACCATGTGAAAGTTGAATAACTGTTGCGCGTCGCACCACCATAACTGTTCTAAATCAGCTGGATATGTCGTCATGCCAGCGTTTGCCAGTGACCACCTGGACACATAATCTCGCTTTTTGACACGAGCTCATGCGTTCAATTTCCATTTCTACAGGTCTGGCGCAGCGATGCCTGGCGCTGTGGTTACCAAGCGGCGCAAGATGTTACCGGCCGCATCCAGCGGGCGGCGCACCGCGTCATCATCACATTTTCTGGCCACGTCCTTGACTTGTTGACATTGATTTTCTGGCTTAACCCTCGCATGTGTAGGGGGGGGGGGTCGGATGGACCCCCCATGGTTTTTCGCGAATAACTCGCGTAAAAAGCGGCCGATCGCGACGAAACTTTCAGTACCCTCGCATTGATCAATTTGACACCTACCCTGAAAATTTCATGACCCTGACCCAAATGACCTTTGACCTGTGACCTCTTTTCCGAGACCATGTTTGGCCGGAATCGCGATTCGGCGTACGTCGGCTCGCATTAGCCGCGCGTTTGCAAGCTTTTCGTGGTTTCAAACGTTCAAAGATGTGATTTGATGTTGCTCCCATGCATTAGGGTGGGTGTCAAGGTCACCTGAAGGTCAGGTCAGGTCATTGACCTTTGGTGACCTCGGGTGACCTCGGTTCACTTTTTCGAGTTTTACATGTTTCTAGGCTAGTTTTTGGAGCTGAATTCGAATTTAGCAACCATTTGAACATTTACGAAGTAGTTTTGGTGCCTTCGTAACATGTTACGAAGCTGTCAGAGGCGGTTGACACGTACTACGAATACCCGTCACGACGCCTACTGATTGACCTGACCTGACCTGACCCTACCTGGTCTAAATGCTTAAAGACATCATCTGTGATCAAAACTAACACGATTTTCGTGATCAGCACCCCAAAAAACCCTTAGCAGGCACACTTTACGACTTTCTAATAGGTCCCGATTTTCCCGACTTTGGGTCATTGACCTGACCTGGAAGGTCAACCAATGACCTAGGACCTTAAAATTGGGTATCATCGGCTTCCTCTCGTCACGGGCAACACGCTCGTTTTTTCCGCGAAGCTCTAGCTCGATCAGGGGCCAAACGGCAAGGGGGGGTCCAACCGACCCCCCCCCCCCACACATTAGAAGCTGGAAAACGCCGCACACATGCGAGGGTTAAATTTCTCTTAGATTAAATTTCTCTTAAATATAATCTAGGGTGTGAGATCTTGGGAGCTCTGCATTGTCCTCAATTTGTCCTCGGAGTCCGCCAGAATTCGACAGGCACCGCCTTCTGAAACTTCAGCACCTTCGAAGACTTGCCTACAATCTTTTGCAAATTCTCAACGTTCCACTAATTGCATGGGATTCCTCAGCTTGAACTGCATCTGAAACACACAGTTTTGTTGACATTTCATCGCATCTTAATTTGGTCATTTTGACATAACCCTGACCCGACTTTCACTATACGCTTACCTAACCTGCTGGAAAACTTCACTGTAACTGGGTATACCTTTACAGTACCTTTACAGGGTTTACCTTACAATATTCCTATTCGGTCGCTTTATGGAAAATGGCCTAGTTAGGTGCGGGTCGAAAACAGTCTTATATTCCAATTTCTATGTTCTAGTAGTATTGATCATTATTAACTTTATAAGGAGTACGTATCAAATAAATAAATAAATAAATAAATATGTGCAGCTTTATTTGCCAAGTCATATTTCACGCGAATCGTAAATATAAGGGAAACCTTCCTGTACATTCGCGAAAGAAAACCAATCCCTTTCTTCCTGGTTCGTCCTTTAAACCATGTTAACTGATGTTATAAACATCAATTACATTTACAAGCTGAACAAAATCAGAAGTAATACATATTTTAAATGTTTTAGCGTGCTGAGGCAGTTAATATACTCACATTATGGTCACAATTCTAAGCACGCCAATGCTGCACCCATGACAGAACGTTTGGACGCTTCTTCATTATGACGGGAATGAATACCGCTTACTTCTCCTCCTGCTAGACAAGCTGTTTTATGTCCCAGGGCTCACAAATAGCTTTAAAGTTATCGCTAGAAGCGTTAAAAGTGCATGGAATGTACGCATTATGAAAGATTCGATAAGCTACGAGTGAAACTATCGTCTTAAGACAAGTTTTGCAAAATTTTATGACGCTGGTACCCGACTGCAATTTTTGGCTGAAAATTCGCAGTTTTGTACAATTGTGGCGCTGTTTATGCGCCTTGAATTGTAAAAAAGTCATCTTTATAATAATCAGTAACTCGGAATTTTGCGTCCATCGCCACGTGACTTTGTCTTCTTTTTACCGCTCGATTTTTTCCAGGCTGCATTTTTATAATAACCAATGGCTCAGAATCGGGAATTAAATTCGCAGCCGGCTCGGAATTTATTTTATAATAATGGCCTCTGTGGTCAGAATGTGCAAAAAACATCAATGTAATGTTCGGGGCGACACAGGAACTCGCTCACAAATTTATAATGAAATCGCTGATGGTAAGGTGCAAAACAGCCGATTTTTGTTCGATTTGACGTGGAATCCCCCATTTGTGCCAAGTGCCGAATAATGAATATGCTCGTACCCCGATAAAAATTTGTTTCAAATAGGTAGATATTGCTTTGTTCCTCGTTACCCCTGATTTCAGCTGATTCGGCCCTGGAGGACATACAGAAGACCTGAATTTATGTTCGTCATAAGCCTAGTCAATCTGTTAGACATCTTTATGACCTCAATCTAGGCAAAACATAGCTTTCCATCCAGTCTCGAGTCCTTTTATTTTGCTCGCCATTTGGCATTTATCACTCGTATAACTTTTAAAAATCCCCCGGCCCCGTTCTTTAGGGTTGGGGGTGCGAGCACCCCCTGAAATTCATCAGTCACCATTAATTAATAGTGCTCCAGGGGTGCTAAAATTACGTCTGAGACACAAACTGCTTTGCGTAAGCCGCGAGTAGAGTGATGCTGCTGGGAAAACGTATACCTACCTATATGATTTTTTTTTCTTCGCAAGAATTCGACGCTACGCTTCCGTTCACCATGATGCGATGCGCCTCCTATTGCGGTTGGCACCTTTATTAGCTCTTGAAGAGGCGATTAATGATTTAGCAGAATTGATGCACACGCTTCAACGCAATTTTCCAACACTTAACATCTCGGAGCGCATCCTAAAATAAAGCTAAAATAAGCCAATGTAAAAGATGGACAGAAAAGAAAGGACAAAACACCGGCAGAGGATTTCCTTCATGTGATCTGGTATCACTCGTCAACGTCGTTTGTTGTGAATACAAACTAGCCGCAGCTGTGACATAAATGTTTTTCATGGTTTTTTTGTTGTCCCTCTTGCAAGCGGCCTGTGAAAATTATCATTTTAAAGGTATTATGGTGGTATTATGAAGATAATTTGTCAAAAGAAGTCTCTAAATAATTGTGGTAATGCATGAGGAGAGACTCTTGGTTTTGACAACACCAGCAACACTTATCAAAACTGGGCATTTACTCAACTGTGGAGGCCTTGATATTGATATAAATGATAGGTTTTGTTCTTTGCTTTTATTGGCTTGATGCTTTTGCAAGGGTCAGGTTAAAGTTTTCGAGATTATGATCCATTCCAAGTCTTTGACTATTCAATCAAGATAACTTGCATATTTTGCTACGATCATTTAATGTTAAAGTTCTTTTGAAGAGGGGAATCTGTGCTGCTCAAAAGTTGTGGGTTGCCTACAAGCCCTAAAAATAGCTGCATTCTGCAGCTTTTTTTCTTAAAGTTGCCTTAGATGTACCTTGTTTCTGCCTTTTTGTGTTTTAGTTAACACAGCTAAGCTAGATCAGATCCATGCTAGCCACTGCATCAACAGCAAGTCATTTTTGTCAGCAAGTCACTGGTGGTGCAAGCACAGCATGAGTGAAAATAACTTGAGATTAGTGCTTCTTATTTATGCATGCCCCAGCTGTCACTGACTATTTTTTCTTTCAGACTAGGCACCTCAAGAAAAAAGCCAGTGATAATCATGCATCATCAGGCAGCTTCTAGCACCCGCCAGTCCTTCATTGTGCTGGGAGGCATCTTTGTCACATCACTTCTATGCCTAGCCTATGTTTATACAATATTTCCAGAAATGACTGAGTAAGTACCTATCATTTTTTAATGTATTTTTTAAAACTTCCATAGTCCAGCCAATCATTTTCTCATTTCAGCTGATATGAGATATTCAATGTTAGGAGATTAACTAAAGCTAATCTGAAAATGATGGGTATTTTTATTTTCTGGTTATTTGGGAAGAAAGAGCTAACTTAATTGACACTCAGTTATGTTTTTTCTGTACATTCAATATGTTTTGTTTTGTGATTTGCACATTTGTTCACATTACCTATTTTAGGAGTGTCAGTATTCTTGGAAGGGATAAGTGCTTCTCATCACCTATCAAAGAGAGTGCAAGGTGCTACAATCTGTGCTCTGCAGACTGGCTGAGATTGAGAGTTAAAATAATGAAATGCATTTATGTTCAGATATGCAGTGTTACAGTTCATTGTAGGTGTACTTTCACTTATTAACTACCTTACTAACTTAAAGGGACCCTCCCACCTTCAAAAAAGTTAATGAATTGGCATGAAAGTGATGTCGCTCGGTTCAGAAAGAGCAAAAATGAATATCTACCAAATTTCATCGAAAAATATTCACCGGTTTTCAAGATATTAGACTTTTACTTTTGTTTACTTTTTGGGATCTCCGCTGTTCCTAGCGACTTTATTTGAAAGTGCGGCATTTGTTGCGCGCAAAGCAGCATATACTACCGCGTGCTGCCAAACGTTTTAGTAAAAGATTTAAAAATCGTTAGATCTCCGCTGACGTCACAAATTCTAAGGGGGCATACCAATGCATTAGCCCCTTAGAATCCGAAAACTGCAAGTTTGAAATTCCATATCTCCGAATTAAAGCATTTTTCGATGTTGTGAATGCCCAAACCGGTATTTTCAGGCCATGGCCACCAATTTGGCTATCTCAACTCAAAACTAATGTTAAGGTGGGAGGGTCCCTTTAACTTACCTACCTAGCAAGAATAACAATTATGTCGCCAGTGGTTGTGACTGCCAAGCGCCCTGCAGTAACAGTGTTACCTTTTTTGCAGAGAGGAAAAACAAGACTTTAAACTGCCAAGAGACATTGAAGATGCAAAGAGACTGGGGAAGGTTCTCAGCATCTACAAGGAGCAATATTACTTTGAAGTTATGACAGGAATCTTCATCACATACATATTGTATCCTTTTGAGGAAGTGTTGGAGCTTTGCACCTTTGAACTATTCAGAGGGAGTTGACATAAAAACAATACTTCGCTTGTTTCTTTTGATGATTAGGAGCGGCCTAATGCCTCTACAGTCCGCAGTATCTCGCTCAGCATTGAGCTAAATTTCCATTATGAATTTTGTGCATTTATCATCACACAAGTATCACATAAAAATTCCTCAAAGACTGCATATTGTTGTCCAATTCTGATCGCAAGCGGTCTGTTTGAGTGGCTATGTTCGCTGTACCGTTTGTGCGCGGCTATGTTCGTTCGTCACGGTATTTCCTTAACGTGATGTCACAGTCTGCAGACGTTCGCCATCCCGGGCTCGATTTTCCTGTCGATCCTGACGGGTTTTCTGTTCCCGTTCTGGGCGGCGCTGGTGCTCGTCTGCTTCTGCTCGGCCACCGGCGCCTCCTTCTGCTACCTGCTCTCCTACATGGCAGGAAGGAAGATCGTGCACAAGTACTTTCCCGAGAAGGCCAAGGAATGGGCGCTCAAGGTGGGCACAGCTGGGTGGGCTGGTTTTTTGGTGTTACTGCTGAATCGGCGATGGATGAGGGAGTCATAACAGTAGCACATGGTTTTGCTATATGGTCTGGTCGTGTTGTGTTAAGAGCATGCAAAGCTTCGGTCAAATCATATATTTTTTTTATGCAGCTCACACACGTTTTTGTTGCCGATTTAAGTCATGCTAGTTCTCACCTATTAATTTGTCTACGAGTACGATTATATCATCGTTTGGTACTCTTTTTCTCTGGCCGGAATGATCGTAAAGCAGAAGCATTTTTGGTCCTTGTTCGTTCTGTGACTTAGTAAGGTATATATACTCCTGTCTCCTACCAATCTGCTGACAGTGCTGACTGCCTCCTTACACTCAGGTGGCGAATCAGAAGGACAACCTGTTGAACTACATCATCTTCCTGCGGATCACGCCGTTCCTGCCCAACTGGTTCATCAACATCACGTCTCCGGTGATCGAGGTGCCGCTGACGCCCTTCTTCATCGGAACGTTCATAGGTCAGGGACCACTACGCGTTATATGACTGACTGACAGGAATGACAGAAATGAAACCAACCGTGTCATTGATAAATGCGCATTAAATTACAGCTGGGCATCTTTGAGTGCTGTTTCGTTTCAGCAGTGGCCAGCTTGTACGGTCGTAACTAAAGGCAAACAGATCATGCGTTCTTTTTACGTGAATTAAAGCCAGTTCCTATAATTGCTGTCAGTAATGTATTCTGCGCTGGATTGGTGTATAATTGAAATACCAGCCACTGCTCATGACCTACTAACCACGCCTTAGCCCAACTATGTACTGCAGTCGCAATTAACTACCGCTAAAGTAGCTCAATATCAACCTACTGGAACACTCCCCAGCCATGAGTTTCCTATCGCTCCCTCGCTGACCACCCGTCCCCCTCCCTCCGCTGCAGGCGTGGCGCCGCCGTCGTTCGTGGCGATTCAGGGCGGCACGACGCTGCAGCAGCTCACCTCCTCGTCCGACGCCGTCTCCTGGTCATCCGTCGTCTGGCTGGCCGTGTTCGCCTGCCTCTCGCTGGTGCCCATCCTCTTCAAACAGAAGCTGAAACAGCGGTTCGACTAGCATTTGGCGCACTTCGGCCGCCGGCTGTTCCGACCGCCCGGTAAGTCGCATCGGTCGGCGGTTGCGTCCCGCGTAGAGGACCAGTCAGGGTCGTCCGAAGGCGTCGGAGAGCATTCGCGGTCGTCTGGGGGTCTGGTGAGCCAGCCGCGACTGTCTGTTGGTGCGATCAGCCTATCACGACAGTCGGCTGCTCCTCTCAGCCAATCGCGGCCGACGTTAAGTGCCATGGGCCAATCACGTCCGCCGCTCGGGCTGATGGGCCAATCGCAGCCGTCGTTAGGTTTTATGAACCAATCGCGGCTGTCTATTGGACCACGAGGCCAAACCTGGTCCTCATTCGGTCTAGCGGAACGTGCCCGAGCTCTGACGGTCCGATCGGGTCCCTCGAGAACCCTGAGTGACCCGCCGGACCATTTGGCCCCGTCGGAGATCCTCTCGGACGAGCCGGGTGCACGTGCTGGCTGGTGCGACAGCAACAACGGCGGCTCGCCGGAGCCAAAGTCGGGACGTTCGAGTTCATTCGGCGGGGCGTCGAGCGCAGTCGGCGCTGTAGGACATTCATTAGGACATGCGGAAAGGTGGTCACGTGATGCACGACACCACCAGTGACAGTGTCGGTGTGGCAGCACGTTATCGTGTTATGCCAGAGGCTATATCCACTGCTGTGAGGGAGTGTGAGTGCTCCGAGATTCGGCATAATTGATGTGTGGGTCGTTTGGTGTTGTGTTCTACGATAGGTTTTCCAATGGACCCTATTGTTAACGGCGTGTTCATCGAGACAGGTGTTTTGTGCGATATTTACTCTTCAATGTGTTGATTGTGATAGTTTGCGTGGGATCTGCGATATTTTCGTTTAAAGGTACTTCTGACAGACATTCCGTCTATGCCAGCGCGAGTCACTGTGTTTGAACTTTGATTTTTTAATAGCGTAAATTTGATGGTTAAAGATCACCAATGATCATAATGATTTGCTGACCGCCTTGGATTCATATTTCATACACACTACCAAATCAATCATTGTATACTTTGGTACCTTTTTGTGTGCGGTGTACGTGCCTACGGAAGTGTGAGAAGGTGGTCTTCGTACCCTTATTTATCACAAGGTCCTGTATTTTATTAGTTAACACCCTTTGCAGCTGCACGCATATCGTAATGTATGCTATATCTAACTATTATCAGTCGTACGTGGTTATTTAACGTCTTCCATAGCCATTCGTGTATGGCTGGACCCATGATAATGCAGGTTTTATTGTTTCGAACAAAGACAAGTTACCGAGTATCGGCAACCGTCTATTGCTCATCACCATAGTGTGTTAATTCTTTGCAGGCTTCACCGATGCTAGACACTTTGAAATGCCGTTGTTTTTTTCTGTGCTAGGCAATCAGTGATAATCTAAATTCGTTGCAAATATTACACGCCGATGACTGCGAACAATTGCTTGCCGCATCAGCCACTTCTAGGCGGATTTTTTGCCCCACTTTTGTTTTAATCCTGCATTTACCATTATCGAAATGTGCGAACATATTAGCTTCCCATGGTAAAATTGATGTAGCGTAAAATTAAGCATTATTTGATTCCCTTTCTCAAACCGGGTAATAATCGAGCCATCGTACAGCAGTGTCCGGTGTGCTCAAAGGCCAGTAGTAATGCCGGTGGTGAGTGGGGTGTCGCATATGTCCGGCTTACAACGTCGTCGGAAGTCGCCATGCTCAGTTGGGCCACGCCCCTGCGTTATTATGCGCTGAATGGTTGGTGTCACCATTATCATGACATGTATTGGACGTGTGATGCGTGTATAACGCATGTTCATGATGTCCTGGACTCCTGTGCATGTGCCCAGTGGTCTTCCTGATAAAGACTGGTTGTCCACTCGAGGCTCGCGATCGTAAAACGCGATACGGTCATGTGTCTTGACTTTGCAGTTGGCGCGCTGTCCTGTGGACTCCAAATATCGCTCGCACCTCCATGGCTCGTTCAGTGTCATTGTTCGCCGAGGGATAATCATTGACACCCTTGTCTATCGCGGCGTGTGCATTGTTCTGTTCCATTGTCCCTGCGTTCCGGCCCCGTGTGGGCAGCTCGCGGGGCCCTCAGTGTGACCAGTGGAAGCCCCACAACACCCCATTCCTGTGATGGCCCGGAAGTCTCGGCGTGGGGCGATTGATGCGCCTCAGCTACCGTTGATCACCCCAGTCGGTCGGGCGTTACCGGACCGATCCAGCCGACCGTGGAGTCTAGTCGTGATGTTTGACATGTTATCCAATATATCCCCGTGTCGACACATCTTTTTTGTGTTCAGATGGAGTCCCCAGTTCGATTAAGCGTTTGCGATATTTGGAAGCAATCCCATTAAAACGGTCAACCTGATTTCCTGAAGGTGACTAGCTCGCGGGTCATGTCACATTGCGTAACGACAAAATACAGGTGAACACCACACAACCACGTCCACCTCCCCCAGTGCCGCTTTAGAGATATGGCAACTTTCATAAATTGAACAGCTGGTCTTTCAAGGCATCCACGTGATACGTGACATGAAAACTGATCGACGCTAATAGAAATATATTTGTTTGGCATCGTGACATCACATATTAGTGGTCACAATTACTAACAAGTAGCGGTGCAAAACAATACATTTAGAACTGTTCTGTATACATAACTTTGTGACTTCATTTGCGACTAGCAGCAATATACGACGCCGGACTAGCACATTGTGACTTAGTTAAAACAAAGCTCTACTGCGGTGGACAAAACGTACGCCAGGGTACGCGCATACAGAACATGTTACTCAAATAAAAACTATCTGTACCCTGGATACTAAACAAAAACGACTGACTGGGAAGACGAGACGCGAAGTTGCCACACTGTGACCGAGGACAACTAGTGAATCATATAAAAACGGCGCAGTTTCTTTTCATGGATGAGATGAAAAACACCAACACCCGACATAACTATTGACCACAGTTCCATCAACACGTTAGGTAAGTTTAAACATACAATATATAAAGCGATATTGCTGTGCAAGTAAAATAGCACAGCCAGCGCGGGGAAGACTGCGGTATGTCTTGGGACTGTCAGGTTAAGCTGATTGGCACACTCGTATTTGGCGTTAATTCCTGTACGTGTTGAACGTACGGTGGGTTAAGGCTGAGATAAATGATTACATAATACATATACAGGCGACCCGTGGTAAAGGTAATGTGGAAGCTCAGATACACATAACGCCTTTCCAAGCCGCTTGGAGCGGCAGTGCATTATACAACACAGTGTCTTACTTAAAATAGTCCACAAAAATGGACTTATCCCTGTTATAACTAGATTCATAAAGCTGTGCGTTGTAAGCTGCCTTGGCGTAACACATCGTGCAAGGGCTATCTAAAGTTCAATGACTTTCCCCGAGCACTAATTCAGTAGAACGACCCCACAAACGTTATGCCAACGGTAGGCTCGGGGGGCGAGGGTCTCACCCCTGGAGACCGTACACAGTAATCCATCCCCCCGTCCGTCCTGACCCCGGCCGTACACGTCACCGCGGCAGCGGCCGCGTCCTCCCCGCCCCCTGACCCTTGTCCACCGGCCGGCGGAGCTGCTGTCTCCCCGGGGCGCTCGCCGTCGACGGGAGGACACACTCTGCCCGAGCTGGGGTATCTGCTGCGCACCCACCGCTCCCAGCCGGTAGAGGCGGGACTGGTGTCGGCAGAACAGAGACCCTCGGCGGCATCCCACGCGGAGGTAGTCCCCGTCAGCAGCGAGGGGTCCACAGACAGCGAGGTGGCTCGCCAGTAGCGCCAGTTGTAGAACACTGACGAGGTAAAAAAAAAAAAATCATGGAATTAGCATGATGAGGAAAATCGGCGCACAACAGGGCGTTGCATCTTTAGAAGCACATTGTCATCAATACAGTCATGTAATGTAGTAATCGCATAACCATCATATGGGTCAAAGTCCTCGAACAAATCGTTATCAGTACAATCGCACGACGCGTTGACCTCGTAACTCGGTCCACTGCCTGCACCTTGCACTCACGTGTGTCTCCGGGCCGGAGTAGTGCCGACAGTGGTCGACAGATGTCACTGCACTCGCTGCTGGGTGTTAGCCGAATCCGCCGGGTACCGCTGTGCTGACTGATCCACACATTAGCGAACTCGGTCATCGGCTGGCGGTGAAAAGAGTGAGCGAGTTGTAACTCCACTGGGGAATCAACGAACATTTGAACATCATCCCTAAAACACGCTTTTCAAACTAGCCGCATAGTTAATATCAAAATTCACTTCAAATTTGCCTTTTGCCTGGGCAAGAAAATCAATGGCGAGTGTACAAATAACGCTCGCTGGACAGGAAAGCAAACTCCGAGCGTCCTGTTCGTACATATTGAGGGAGAATCCTACATACGGACTCCAGCACCTACTGCGATCTTCATCGATCTACATCACCAGCCGACACTCACCAGGTGAAACTGTTCGCCCTGATCGCCGCAGAGGTAGATATAGCGGTGGAGGGACACCTCCGTCTTCTTGGTGATGAAGTAGGGACGCACAAACAGCTCCCGCAAATGTCTCACGGCAGACACCCGCAACAAACGCCTGTGGAACGTGAACATCGGGATATGTTACGGTAACAGCACCAATGTCCAATGAGCATCGAATCATAACACTATCAACCGTCATGGAAAGGAATAGGTACGAACTATATGCAAGGTTCCTTCAATGCATAACTTAACTAAAACAAACTCACTATACGATTGAGTGCTCTTTCGCATGAACACTTTGTAAAGGCGACGTGACAAATATTATTCAGGCAGGTGAGAACAATATGACAATCTACTGCATCAAGACAGCCACGATAGTGCGCACATCGGCGCCCACTGCAGACTGCACCGCTCATCGCCTATGTCATTCCCACAGCGGGTTCACCCCTGACCCCAGCGGTACTGCTAACACTCACCACTGGATGCAGTGTTCCATATTCGCCAGCCGACGCGCGGGAGCCCTCAGGAGGCGGTCCAGGCTGTCCAGGCCGGGCGGTGCGGGCACCAGACGGACGGCCGATCCAGCGGCGATGTCGGCTCGGTGCTCAGCGTACAGCTTCCTTAGCGATGGCAGGGATACCGGGGACGGGACGGCGTCCTGAGGGAAGGTAGGAGGGTGGGGTCAGTCGGCCAGCGCGGTATGACACACATATATGCATTGCTAACGTACAGATTATAAAAACAACCAATCTGACTGTGACGTCGTAAATATGGTAATTTAGCTTAACGCATATCTTTTCAATCCCTTATCTCCATTCCCCAGTCTTTGAATGCAACCAGCCCGAGACAAAGTAGTTGCAGATCGTCGTAAAATCTCAAATAAGGTCATTCATATTTCAGTTGTGAGTTGCAACAAGACGCAAAAAAGGAAGTCATCTGTCAGGACCATTAACGAAATCCAGATGAAAGATGGATAAATACAGTATCTACCAGAACTGTCTATTCTCCTACCTGCACGATGACAGGCACCCCTTTATGGTAGAATAGCTCCTCGAAGTGCTGAGCGTCCGACAGAGTGACAACGGCAACATCTTGACAGAGCGAGCAGTCCACCTCCTGGTCCCAGTAGAACGGGTTTTCTATCAAACACGTCTCCTCGTGTATATCTGAGCAAGGGTGGAGGGAGAAAGACGAGCGGGTATCAGCATTCGTCCTTTTTCCAGGTCATTCTGTGCGGGACGGGGAGTTACGGAGGGAGTATAAATGGACTCAAAGGAGCTCAGGGACAGTCAGCGGTTTGAGACGGTAAACGAAACATTTCAGACAATGACTCAGCATCAACTACTAGAAGCCAACCAATGAAACGGACGACGTTAAATGTAACCGGATACAGGTCCCAATGCGCACAAGCTACCATTCACGAGTGTATGTAATACGATCACGCACTCTCCACCCGAGAAGGCTGTATCGTATTACAATCAGCTAGCCCAGATCACTGTTTCCCTCTGCTCCCCTCCCCAGCTCCCAATGGATGCAATGGAGGGACGAGGTGCTGTCACACGACAGGGTCAAATGACTATGATATCTAGTGAACGGTAAACTTCCAGGATGTTTCGTAGCAAAAAGTTCTTATGACAATTAGGTAACTGATATTATTATGTATAGGACAAATATGATGATAATATTGACAAGCAGTTAATTGATTTAATATTTATGCAGCAGAGTATAACTAGAGTATTGATTCATGGAACACTTATCAAACACTGATCCTGGGTACTTGGATTGTAACATCAGCCATCAATGAAACTGTAAGTGATGTCACATTTCAAACCTCCTTGTACCTACCTGTATTTGATGGAAAATACTGAATGATTGGCAATGCAATCAGGCGAATGGCTCTCAGAATAGGATAAATCCAGTCCTGAATGTTATTGTTCCAGCAGAGTTTCAACGACTTTCCTTGGCAGTATCCATATTTGATTGCAGCAAATGTAACAATGCACAATAAAGCAAAGTACATCAGGCATGCCACATGACTAGTTTTATCTGACTTTGCTTCTTTCTTTGGCACTGATGTAAGTTTCTCAGCATTATCATTGTTGTATTCAGGGCTTTCTAGTGCCTGTGTTATTGAATGCAGCAGCATTTCAGTTTTCTTCTGTCTTGAGGATGTGTCATGTCCACTGTCACTTTCCAAGAAGTTCTCCAGCTCTTTAATCCACTCTTTTTGCTGTTCATTTGATCCAAAATCCATTATGACAAAAAAGTATAGTTTGTTTTCAATACCAAATGATATCAATTGGGCAATTCACCTTAATTGCCCTGTTTTATTTTATGTTGCAGGACTAAACATGATGATTTAAAATATAATACAAATGAATGATCATCATACCACCTCTTTAAATGCATAGTTATAAGCTATGCTGCTTGTACCAAGCTTGTACACAGCAAAACGGCATTGCTGATGACAGCATCCTCAGCCCTCAGGCCCAATGCCATTTATCCTTAGATACTCATTTTCCAAACTGTGACCTGGAATGGACATGAATATTAACATATATTAACATATAGTATGAGGAAGCACACTTTCAAGGCTCATTGTAGTAAAAACAAAACCAGAATGAGGGTAAAAGTGTAGTTCCAAAATAAAGTTCATAGAGTTTAAATGCTTCCCACCTGATAAAATTCAATTTTATCTTCTATAAGATAGGTACACAAAAATTAGCAAACTGCAAATGCAGTCGCACAAGTTATCTACTTAACTTATTCAAATCAGTTGTTGTTGTTGTTGTTTTGGGTTAGGGTAGAGCGCGTAGCAGCTTGGCTCTTGCATCCAACTTATTCAAATCAGCAATACCTCGAAAAATTGGAAACAAACATGAAAGGCATAATCAGACATTATTGTATATATTCGAGCAAAATTGTACGATTGTTGTCATTTGCTTGAATATATACAATGAAAGGCATATTGAGATGCTAAATCGCATAGCCTAATCACATGTTGCAACCTCATGTTAACAGGTAAATAAATTTCTGCACCAAAATAATAGATGCATTTCACGACAAAGTAAAAATAATAAAAATTGCCACATTTTACTTATGGCATTGTCTTTACACACATGGAGCCATTTGTTAGTCTTGTATAGTCCTGAATATAAGTCCTATTCCATGCCATTTCCGCGGCTCTTTCTAGTTGCTTTCTAGTGTGCTTGTGCTCTATTACTAAAGGTTTGTATTTTTGATCGACCTTTGGCAGCGTTTTAGGCTGCATTATTTTAGGTAGTATTTGAACCAATTTTGCAATTTCAACGCAAATGTTACATTCGACATGACGTGTATGCTTGTTATTAGTGTTCTAAAATCCTGAACCAGCGTTTTTGTCGTGGTTGTCATGGCTAACAGATCATTTTGAAGGCTGCATTTTATCCTTTTTTAAGAAAAAATATATTGTCATCATCAATGAAACAATTTGAACTGTAAAGAAATTTTATAAAACATATGAAAAGGGAGTGAGGGCGCCGTTCATAGCGCCGAAATTTTACAAAATAATATCTCTTCTCTCTGATTGGTTGAGTTGCCATACAGCAATATTCGTCGAACAGCATTTCTTTGATTTGTGTACATACGTGTGCCGCCGGATGAGAGCTCTAAGGGTCCACCTTCTTTCGGCACTTCGGCAACAAGGAAGTACTCCCGTTAGCTTTGACACACCTAAGATAGGCTCCCACGTTGTTATTTGCTCCCGGGTTAACATAAACCGGTTTAACGTAACTTTTGCATCCCGGCCAAAATTGCCGGGTTAACTGTCCCACCGCTCGAGACTGGCACTAGGCTGGCCGAGCAAAAAAAAAAAAAAATCTAAGGGTCCGCTCTAGGAATCAAACATCAATCTTAGTAATCAAACACAATTTTTGGGTGTTGTCCATTGATTTCAGAGACTGAATAGGCTGGTAGGTAATGATTGATAAATAACTTGCCACATAGGATACAGTACCTTTTTTATCATCGAGGAACCATGTTTTTATCAGCAGTAAGCTGAAACTCTGTTCTCAATCTTATCACTTAGGTAATTTTCATTTTGCTACAACCATGAAATGAAACTTCATTACGAGCGAGCGAGCGAGTTCATACTGAATTAAGGGAAAATCCTGAGCATGAGCGGCCGGCCGGCCGGCCGTGGGGACGCTCTTCAAAAGCTCATAGGTATCTTAGGAACGGGACATCGGATTGACAAGCGGTCTTCTTTACTGAATGTCACTTGGACGTAAAAGTTCTGTGGTGTGATGGCCACCTTGCCAACCACCGCACATGGCGCTGGTAAAGTTGGACATTTTTTAAGAACCCCCAAAATTGCAACCTCAATAACTGATGTAGATTCAGACTGTGTTTCCTGTGCAGGTAATACATTATTTGAAATGGTTGCATTGGTTTTGAATATTTAAGAGCTATCTAGGTTTTAAGCAGCAACGAAACACTTAGCTCTGTTATTAATATTAGGTATGTATGCATGCCAACTTTGGATGATAACATAATCATAATGTTTGGACGATTCATCTGCTTTAAATAAGCTAGGTACTTCTTGTTCTTCTTGAAGAAGCTACTTCTTAAAATGAGGTACCACCTACATACAATAGTTTGTTTTAAGTGGTCACCCAATACTTTTTATCAGGCTGTCTGGGCAGCAATCTTCTTCTCAACATTATGAAGATGTAAATGTCTGAATGATTAAACCAACAGCAGGGTGGAGAGGACAAACAGAGAGTACAGCTGTTTGATAGAGACATAAGATACCTATGTCTAAGCATTCCCATTGTCTGGCTTGGCAATCAGCATAATCCTCTTGAGAAAATTACAAATAAGTTTAAGGTAAGCTATTTAGGTAAGTTTACCAAATGTCATTGGCCTACTAACTGATTGTGATGTTGTATTTTTTTTTTCAGAAATAGGACTTCTGCAACAACATCAAGAAAATGCTGGGTTTGTCAGTCTTTGGCCTGTATATGGTGTTTGTGGTGTTCCTGCTATTCATGATGGTAAGACAGTATGAATGACAAGATGTCGCAATTGTTTTATATTTTTCATGCTGTGATTTTCAATCAATCTATGAAATGGTCTATTGGCCAAAATATTACATGTTCCCCACAATCTCATCTTTTATTCTTGCTAGTTGCTACCATTCCCAATGCTCCTGTGACCTTTTATGATTAATGATGGCTATTTTGTTCAGAAGTGATTGACTGGAAATATTTCTTTCAGATATGTGTGGCAATATACCTTAGTACAACCCCATACCCAGAGATCATTCGCTATGATCAGGAGAAAACATTTTTCACCAGCAAGAACAAGAAACAGACTGGCGAGTTTCCCTTTGGGAAGTTCAAGGCACAAGATTCTGTGAAGCTCTCAGTGATAGTGCCAGCTTACAATGAAGAGCAGAGATGTAAGGGCTTAGGGCATGCCAGCATTTTTTTCAGCTGGTCAATCCCTTGTTGTTTCAACAACACATTTAATGTCCATGTTTATTCCGTGACGCTTGATCCGCCATGGATAATTACTAATTTGTTTTTGACACATCCTCAAATTTAGATATGAATTTGTATCTTATTTATTATTATTTTGTATCATCAGTACCTATAATGATCTTAACCTTACTTTTTTCCTTTCTCTGTCACGCCTGTTGCAGTGCCCAGTATGATGAAAGAGGCACTGGAGCACTTGGAGGCGCGTCGCGCCGCCGTGCCCGGCTTCACCTACGAGGTGATTGTGGTCGACGACGGCAGCTCGGACGCCACCTCCGAGCTGGCGCTCCAGTACACCGAGAAACACGGCGCCGACCGGGTGCGCGTGCTGACACTGGAACGCAACCGCGGCAAGGGCGGCGCCATACGCATGGTGAGATCGATCGGTGTTATTTGATTGGATCGATGTGCCACGTTTACTGGTTAAATAGGAGGTTAAATAGGACTCTACCTGCGAAGCTGACTGTCCGCAATGCTGACTCAGAAGAGGCCTTGTTGATCAATTACCTATACAAGACAAGGATACAAAAGGAACTGCAGTCTGCATGTCGACAGCAGTTGAAACGAGCAGGACAAGAAAAGAATCCTGTCCTCATCCTCCCAGTCTCTCCTTGCCCGGTGCCACCACTAGCGTCTTGCACAGTACCTAACGTAAAGGCTGAGATAAGGGACAGCAGAGGGTCATCAGGGAGGACAACCTGATGGTGCACCCGATGGGTGGAACCGACGACTGAGAAGAAGAAGAAGAAGAAGTTTACAGTGATCTGTAAAATCCTTGATTGGGTGGTAAATAACTTACTATGTGTAATCATGCTTTTTGTCTCCAGATTTGCTCGGATATTCTCTGTAGATACTGAATTCTCGCTAGCGGTGCGTAAATCGACGCCCACATTTCCTCATTAGATGATCAGCGTAATCACTAGTCCTGCTTGTTTTCTGGTATGTTTTTTTTTGTGTCAACCCTTCGTGATCTGTGTACCGACTGCGTGGTCGCCCGCCGCAGGGCATGCTGAGCTCGCGCGGCGAGTGGCTGCTGTTTGCGGACGCCGACGGCGCCACTCGGTTCTCCGACCTGGACCAGCTGGAGGCCGAGCTGAAGCCGCTGGCCACTGCCGCCGACTCAGCGGCCGTGGTGTGCGGCTCGCGCGCCCACCTCGAGAAGGAGAGCATCGCGCAGCGCTCGCTGTTCCGCACCATTCTGATGAAGGGCTTCCACCTGGTGGTGCGTCTGTTCACCGTGCGCGACATCCGCGACACCCAGTGCGGCTTCAAGCTGCTCACCCGGCCCGCCATGCTGCTCTGCTTCGCCAACCTGCATGTGGAGCGATGGTGAGTATTGTCGAACTGCAGCAGATCTCGGTATTTGAATCAGTGCGGTCTAAACTAAGACCATGCACTATTCCCGGTATTCCTCCTAACCATAGACCTCTGTAAACCGGTATACAGAGGTCTATGCCCTAACTCAACGTGATAAATGGATGATATTATGCTGGTTGCGGCATGTGTGCGTTTTTTTTTTCTCACGTCAAAGTCCGCCCTTTTCACTGATGTGCCTGTTTACAGGGCGTTCGATGCGGAGCTTCTGTATATCGCCCAGCGACTGAAGATGCCCATCAAGGAGGTCGCTGTGCACTGGACCGAGATCGAAGGTGAGGGCTGCAGTCTAGATGCTGGGGGCTGAACTCATGCTGTGGGCCTGCGTTGTTCTGCTTGATACACGCCTTGCTTACTTGATCTTTGATGGGTTGATTTTCGCCAACATAATGTGGGACTAAATAAGCGTTGCAGCGTTGCTTAGTGTCGTTGAAAGAACGTATAATCTTGCTGAATTGTTATAGGTCAAGATGTCGCTTCGAATTTTTGCTAAATGTCGTTAAATTGTCATGTTTTACGAAGCAGCCGCGTAATGCGTGAAATGCTAAGTTCGGGTAGGTATAACATTGAACGAAATCTGGTGTCCTCTTGTCTTTTTTCCTCATCTTCAAATCATCTAAAGTCATCATCAAATCAGCCTCTTGTATCTTTTTCAACGAATATTGCTCAACTTTATATGGTCTATGGAAGAACAAAAAGCTATTGAAAAAATGATTTTAGGTGACTAATGTTTTTTTTTTTGCGTAGCAGACGATCATATTCACAGTTGTGGTCTATGTCAAGGACAGTTTCTCGACATAAGGCGAGGTCAACATCGTGACATCATCTGTGACTTCTAGGCTCGAAGCTGACGCCGATAATCAGCTGGATAGAGATGGGCCTAGACCTGTTCTTCATCTGGTTCCGGTACTCGATCGGCGCCTGGCGAATCCGTGACCAGTTGGACAGCAAAAAGTTCGAGTGAGCAGACAGGGACGATGTGACCGCTCACTGAAGACGCCAGGCTGCCTGCCGCAGAGGCTGCCAGGTTTAAGGATAGCTGGGGGTGATCACGATGGACCAAAGACACGCGGTGGTCGGGACGGGGGCGGTTGGGGTGCTGCAAGTGATCCACGTTTGGACTGTGGTCGGGCTCGTCAACGAGTCCGAGCAGACGGCCGGTTGAGGCACGTACTCACGCATACCCCTTCTCAGGTGACGTTTGGGCCAGAAATCGCTGGGGAAGGGTCGGGGTGAGGCACTTTGGGCTGTGGGCACTGCGTGCAGAGCTCCGGAGACGGCACTGTGTGTTGTGATAATCGCTGATTTGTGATCAGAGGTGATGATTCGATTTGCGTGTTTTGGTGGGCGTAGTTGGATGCCAAGTTGCTGGGATAAATTTACCTGAAATATTTGTAACGCAGTCTGTTTGATGATGAAATTAGAAGCTTTTGGATCTGAAGAATAGTCTCGTTAATTTAGATCCTTAAACGGATGGCATTTAGACCTATTTCTGAATTGAAAATCTGTATGGGTCAGATGAGAAAGTCAGATTAGAATATGGGTTGAAAAAGGCGTGAAGTCATGTGCAACTGCTCGAATAGAACATGCGCACTGCATACAGTACAGTTTGAAGATTGCGTGCAGTCATCTTGCTATCAAGTGAAATGAAAGTGTTTCTCCGAATCTTTTAGTTTTAACCAGTAAATCCGACCAAGAAAAACGTTTTTTACGGTTGATAAAAATGAATAATTTTATATTTTTAAAAGAGCTGAGGTTTTTAGAGCCCCAACCGTTTCTAGAGAAGTGAAGATAAGGAAATATTTTAGTACCATGATCCCTCTGTCCTCTGTTGGATTCCTGGAAAATTAATGCATTCCAATCTTATTGCAGTAGCCAGTAATTCTCCTTAACATTTCAAAATCTCGTCATTTTCAGTGACAAATTAGTGTGTTTGTGTGCGCGAGCTAATGTGGGTTGAAAAAAGGCGTGAAGTCATGTGCAACTGCTCGAATAGAACATGCGCACTGCATACAGTACAGTTTGCAGATTGCGTGCAGGCATCTTGCTATCAATTATTTCAAAAAAGATAAGGTAAAAATAGGCTTGCAATCGACTCTTTATTCGCTTTCAAACCAAGGACTACCTGCTAAAACAAGTAAAAACCACCAGTCGATGAGGAACAGTCGATCATGTATACGTATGGAGGTGCGAGTATAATAATCTTATCCTTATATGCTGACTGTTGTGCACTGTGAAACAATGGGAAATCGTGTGTTGGTTAACAGATGCGTTCAACTCATCGTGATCATCTTCACTGTTCACTTGATATAGGAGAAACCTAATGGGATGTCCCCTAAGCACGTTTGGTTTTTGCGTTGTCGTCATTGTTGGTCCCTTTGTGATTTCTTCGTTGTTGTGGTTGTTTATGACGATCTTTGATTGAATGATGTTAACGTTACAAGCAAAGACATGTTTGCTGCACTTTGTTCTTTGGTAGGCATTCGAATCGTGGAAGCTTGTCTTTGCAGTTTGCGTGTAACGCATATGCAAGTTTTACTTTTCGTTGGGGCAATGGGAGCGTTGAAGGAGCATTTGCCATCGTGTCCTTGAATTGTGGATAGTCTTGTTAGAAGAGCTGCATGGATCCCATATCGCTGAACATTGTACAATATAATACACGTAAAACTTGGGGGAACTTATCTCTTGTGTGATGTATGGGGCTATGCGTAAAATGCTATTTGTATTGCTTGACAAGCTTTTTTATTACTGACTTTATCTTACAAGCGTAATTGTGTAGGTATACATTGCTCTCACTTTCTTAGGCAGTCATGGTACGATGCTGAGAAGATTATGAACGACAGTGCCGCGGCTGGTCTACGCCCTACGGATAGTCCAACGGTGTACTATCGTTGCGATCACTTAGCGCTAACCATACCATCACTTTTACGCTACGATCGATTGGTAAAGACCAGCAGTCAGCATGATTAAAAGTAACTTATCATGGTTGGACTTGGAGGTGCGGTACCTGGGCGATGATTGTTGACAACTAGAGAAGCGTCTGTTTGTTTTATTGGGTGACCCCTAATCCTTTTTTCATAGCTGGAACGATAATAGGAGTATTTCGGTGATAGGCGTTTGTCTGGTCGGTCTCTTCGGTGGGCCAACGGGACTGGGCCCGTCACGGTGGACAGGCCATCCAGTACCACTAACGGTCTTTCCATCGCACGCGAGGAATGAGGAAAGTGAGCAATGAGCGATGAACATCTATTACTGTACTAATCCCTGATCAGTTACTCCGTCGGATGAAGGCTTTTTAATGTGGCCTTTTGCCTGGAACGGGAAGTTTATAGGGCAGAAGAGAGGAACTCGTGTGTCATAAGGATAGATCAGAAGGATAAGAGCTTTTAAAGTAAATGATTATAGCAGAAAATTTTGTAATGCAAGCAAGTTATATAACAACTTTGTCTTCTTGCCATTCTAAATTTCATAATTAAAAGCATGTGAAGTTGCGAACCTATATTTAGTGGCCGATAGCTTCTGCTGAATTTAGACATGCGTCATATTCGTCTACTCAAAATACAACTAGTTACTTAGTATGTTTTTCAGTCGTTTCTGTGGTATTCTGTGCCAATTATTAAAGTGTGTGTCAAAGTAACTTGTGCAATCTTTATATAAACTGTGGTGCATTCATAAAAAGCTTCAAGGCCAGCCAATTTCATGTTATAAGATATTTCTAATAATCGTTTCAAGCGGAAATTATACCATTATTTACACCAGAAATCTAGGATTATGGAAGAATTACCTAACTGGCAATTATCTGGAATCGCAGTTTCCCGCGCTTTTCACCTAACAAAGTGCACGTGTTTGATGGGTGGATTTTAGGGTATATTTCATCTATTTTCTTATTCAATTATAAAGATAATAATTAGACAGGTATTAAGGCCACATCAACTGCTTTCTGTGCTGGTGTTTCAATACCCTTTCTTGAGATTCAAGCTGCATTGCTTTGTTTTTGGGTTGAAAGAGAACCGCACTTCAACTTCATCTGTTGCTAGGAATCATGTCGGTAAGTAAAGCTCTTGTCGGAAAATCTACTATTGTGTTTATGATCATAGTCATACGCAAATGATGATTCCTCACTTTATAATGTCTCATGGTGCATGTTTCTCTTTGTTGTCGTCCAATTTGCCATAAGGCACCAGCATTGTATGCAATCAGCCATGTTTGTTCCCCGAGTGTGAGCCTGTTGGCAATGGGCCTCACCAAGGCCCTATATACCAGGTAGGGTCGTCCGGCGATTCTACCTTTTCGTGACGTCAGCTCGTGACGTCATTTGGAGTCAAGTCTCGAAGCCCCGTTCAATCCCCATGTAAAGGAGCGATTTTCGAAGCACTGTAGAATGAAGTCTGCACAAGATATATCAAACCTAAGTATCTTATCTGAAAGAGCAGACAATTTTCTGCAAGTTATCTATAACGTGTTTTTCGCTAAATCTTTTGCTTTTTTCACAAAAGCGTAAAATGTCCCCCATGTCTCCGCAGCCTCCCTGCCGCCGGCCGCCGCGCGGTCGCGGTAGTGTAGTGGTTAGCGTGCCCGCGCAGTATTCCAAAGGTCCCAAGTTCGAATCTATGCGGTGCGGAACTTTAATTGCAATTCCAAGCTGAATATACGCGCATCCATAATAAATTATTATTCGTATAGCTAAACTGTCACCAAGCGATCCATATAAATTGACTTCACCCAAAATATCGGCAAGATTCTATTAAAATATAAATTCAAATATGGCGGCTTGGACTGCCGCGTGCGTTAGGCGCCGCCCATAGCTCCGCCCACATGCGTGACGTCAGTCGTGTTAGTGGACACACGCGGAGATAGGGGACGACATGGGCCTGGGCCTCACTATTTTCTGGAAAATTTGCCAGCTGAGCTGGTGCCATATGGTGGCGCTAGCAGAGCTTGTATATCAATGCCAGATACAAATAACTAAATATCTATCTTTTACTTTCTCTGTGAATGAATGCCATTTTATGTATTCATGTCCATCTCTTACCATGTTTTTATCAATAAATGACATAGCTATTGTATGTCACCAGCTGGCCAGGGGGCTGATTTTATCTAGTTCTCTATAAGGCCCTCGGGAATGAAATTGGCAACTACTGCTGGGACAGGCCTAATATAACCTGCCACGTACATTGTGAAGCATGCGGCCACACCAGCACAGTGGCTGTTTCCTTATCATGCTGCTAACACCTGGAATCATTGAGCCTGTCTACAACTGATGTTTTCTGATATGCCACTTTCACACTTCTCTTATGCTGTTGGAGGTCTTGTTAGAGTAGCAAGTTTTATGTCATATTTCATATCTCAGTTTTTTTTTCATTCAATGTGCCTGTTCATGGTAAATACAAGAATTTAATTGATTGAAAATGCTGAGGAGGCTGGTCAGTCTTGTGCCATAATGCCCATAATCAAGTATGATATATTGTGAAATTATTTTTATTTTATTACATTGGATTTGATTCTTCATCAATTTTAGGATCCAGATTTTCCCCCTACATTTATATTGTTTTACATTGAATTTCCTGACCTTGAGGGGCCATAGAGTACTTATGGAATAAGCAATGGTCAGAAAAATTATTTAAGCTCCATGTATATGCCTAACAGGATTTCATCCAAAGTGTAGCATAACTTCATGCAGAAACCACCAGATAACAGCTGCTGACTGCACTTTTGTGAGTTCTGTTCCTTCCAACTCTAGCTGACATGTCATTTCCATGTGGCAGGACATGAACCCCGACTCTCCGACGTCACCGTCGGCGGTGCTCAGCTCGCCCGAGTCGCGCGCCACGCCGTCCTCACGGCTGGGCCGGCGCCGGCGCGTCAGCCGCGGCTCGACCACCGGCTCCCTGGACGCGCCGTTCGAGGACGACCAGTCGGTGGGCGCGGCGGCCGACCTCGACCTCGACCGAGATGAAGAGGAGGAAGACGGAGAGGAGCTGTTCGGAGATGCCATGGAAAAGTGAGTGAGAAGGCTGGTTTTGAGTCCTGTGTAGTCTGATTTATTTTAAGGCTGATCTATAATCGACCGGGTATGCTCGGTGCCATGTGTGTTGTCCAGGTGGACGTGTCATACGTGTGCTGTTGGCCAATTTAGGCATGACAGATGATCGAGGAAAGGGGGTGAAGATAACTGGACTTATTTTTTTTTAGAAGCATTGCCAGTTTGACCTGTCTGGAACTGAGCTGAAATTTATCGACGTATTGCGGTTGGTCTCTGAGTGATCAACGTTGACATTATCCGCCGTGATTGCAGTGACTACCGGCCGATATCCGGTCTGGACCGGTACGAACCGGACATGCTGGACGACTCGGAGGTGGACGCCATGAGCGAGACGGGCCGGCGCGCTGCCGAGGCTGCCATGCGCAAACGCGACCGCGATGAGGGCCGCACCGCCGGCGGACGCATGCGGCGCGGACTGCTATACGGTGAGTGCTCTGTCTTAGGAGGGAGCTATTATTGGAAGGGAGCCCTTTCAGAGTGGGCGATGTTATTTAGCCGGGCGAAGGGCGCCGGTCTGTCAGTTGTCTCGTCCCTTTTGTCAATTGTCCGTGACCAACCGATAGAGTTCGTGCTAGTGTAATTGCTTAACTATTGGTCTCTAGCTGCAGGCTGTGAATCTCCGAGGGTACGAATTGACCGTTTGGCATTTGTATCACAGGATTTGTTTATGGTGAGCTGCCATGGTGTCATCTAAATGAGCTCACAGGGCCTAACTCATCACTATTTCTCGAAATGTGCCGATATCAGCTAAGAGCTAGCGATTCTAGTCATCCACTGACCACTCCCTCGTGCCTCCCGCAGACGAGTCTGACGAGGAGGAGGAGGACCGTCCGTCCCGGCGGCGCCGGCTGGCCGAACAGGCGGCGGAGGGCGGCGCTGAGGGTCCCGAGGACCAGCTCGAGTCTATCGAGAATCTGGAGGACCTGCGCGGCCACACCGTCACCCAGTGGGTCACCAAGCTGGGCCCGCGCACCGAGATCTACAACCGCTTCAAGAACTTCCTGCGCACCTACGTGGACGAGAAGGGACACAAGCTGTATATGGAGAAAATTCGACAGATGTGCGAAGGTGAGTGGAACGTTTCTTGGTGAAATGTTTGTATGACACGCTGATTATGTCCAATCATTTTGTTCGCTGTTTGTGGTGTTGTGGGCCTGGTGCTGTTTTTTTTCCCGAATTTGCGTTATTTGTTAGGTTACAGTTCCCGGTTGTGGGGGCTTTGCTCGTTTTATATTTTACCTTTTTCATGTTGCGATATCGTGACGGTCGCCTGTTTTTGCAGAGAACCGTTCCAGTCTGAACGTGGACTACAATGTGATCGCTCTGAAGGAGTGGGTACTGGCGCTGTTCCTGCCGGAGGCGCCCACAGAAATGCTGGCCATCCTGGACCAGGCGGCCAAGGACGTGGTACTCGGACTGTTCCCACAGTACGAGCGCATCTCCAAGGAGATCCACGTGCGCATCACCGATTTGCCCCTCATGGAGGATATCCGGTCACTCAGGTGGGTGTACGCGGACGTAGCGAGCGTGGAAACCGAAGATACGCACATTGCACTGCATAGGGACGTATGATGGGCATTGGACATATAATTTATCGAGGTACTACGTGTTTTGGAAGAAACAAAAACTTTGAAGAACTCAGAGGGCGCAGCCACTTGGGCATATCCCAGTTTCCATTGAAGTCATTGTATGTTTAAGCCACATCAAATTAAATGCAACTTTCATGTATTTTTGCAAGATTCCTTGTTCTAGCAGAGGCGAGCTCAGCGATTACGTGTTTGTTTGTGTTTCACAGACAGCTGCACCTGAACCAGCTGATCCGCACCAGCGGCGTCATCACCGCCGCCACCGGCATCCTGCCGCAGCTGTCCGTCATCAAGTTCGACTGCAACAAGTGCAGCTACGTGCTCGGCCCGTACGTGCAGGGCCAGAGCAACGAGATCAAGCCCGGCTCCTGCCCCGAGTGTCAGAGCAACGGACCGTTCCAGGTATGTACATCGCCGTACGCAGCTCAGGATAGTGTGTGTTGAATGCATTAGTGTTAAAGAGATGGCTTTTAAGCATGTCTTTCCTTTCAATTGGTCGATTGATGGCTTGTAAATGCTTATAGATAGAAATCATGATATATTTCCTTGTCATTTATAATGGGTTGGATTTTTAGGATGTAAAAGAACACATTGAAGAGATGTAAAGAACAAGATGTAAAGGATGGATCATGGATTGCCCTCGGTTCTACGGTTTAACCCACGTGCTGTGTCCCACCGCAGGTGAACACGGAGGAGACGGTGTACCAGAACTACCAGCGAGTCACCATCCAGGAGTCGCCGGGACGGGTGGCCGCCGGACGGCTGCCCCGCTCCAAGGACGCCATTCTGCTCGGTAAGCGAAGGAATCGTAGCTGCCGGCTTGGGGAATCGTACCCGGTTGTGGTGAAAAAGCGGCAAGGTCGTGATGTAACGATAGTGGTATAACAACGATGTTTTCCATCGTTTATGCCATTTTATGTATTTCTGGAAACATTGATCAGCCGGACGTGCTAATACGATTCTGTAAACTTTGTTTTGCAAACCGTTTATCTCAATTTGCAACCTGCTTAACGGTGAACATCCTCGTAATAGGCCTTTAATTTGATGACTTTCTTCACATTACCGCGCGGTTCCATTTTCAGGCGACCTGTGCGACACATGTAAGCCGGGAGACGAGATCGAGCTGACCGGCGTCTACACACACAGCTACGAGGGCAGTCTCAACACCAAGCAGGGATTCCCCGTGTTCGCCACCGTCATCATGGCCAACCACATCGTGAGTGTTGATTCCTCAGCTGCAAAACCGTGGATAAGATCGTATTTGTGATCACTAGCATTAACGATAGTTTTTTTTTTCGTGAACAGCTGATGCAAGTGAAGAATATTGTAGTGTTATTGAGTTTAATATTTTCCTCCTGTCCGTGCTATATTTGTCGATTCGCTTTGGCGTTTCTGTTTTATTCTTGGGTGCTTCAGCCAAGCATCACTCGGCTGCTCTCTTTATATTTTCATCGTAGGTAGGTAGTTGCACTAGATGTCGTATCAATCCCTCGTCATCTCCCTCACATATCGTCTAACGGAACCCCTCTCACCTCGTCTCACAGCTGAAGAAGGACGACGCTGCTCTGGCTCGCACCCTGACAGACGAGGACGTGCGGGCCATCACCTCGCTCTCCAAGGACCCGCGCATCGCCGAGCGGATCGTGGCCAGCATCGCGCCATCCATCTACGGACACGAAGACATCAAGCGCGCCCTGGCACTGGCCATGTTCGGCGGCGTCTCCAAAAACCCCGGACAGAAACACAGGTGGGGCAGGGGTGGAGCTTGGGCTGTGGTTGTGTTTGTAAAAGAAGCTTGAGCGATGATCATCAATAAACCACGTAGTTAGGTACTACCCTAACTACGTTAATGGCTACATAGTGAGACAACCGAATTGATTTGTTTTCATCTGTTGACACGAGTAATGGCAGGCTGCTCGTGTATCTCACTAAATTTATGTATTACTCAGCGACCAGCGTCTTCAAGTTTCTTTTCACTATTTCATTTATAATGTTTGAGCGTCACGAATAATATTCCTGCTCCTCCGTTGCCGATCAATAATCCTCACGATGTCTGGCAGGGTGCGTGGTGACCTGAACATACTGCTTTGTGGCGACCCCGGCACAGCCAAGTCGCAGTTCCTCAAGTACCTGGAGAAGATCGCGCCACGGGCGGTGTTCACTACTGGACAGGGCGCTTCGGCTGTCGGTACGTTCGTTCTTCTTTATAATGACGGCGGCTCGACTTCTGCCTGGCATTAAATATCATCATCAGCTTGGCTGATTGTATTCGAGACTTTATGTGAACGAATCGGTTGAGTATGATGTCATCGGAATGCCACGATACATACGATGTGTTGCCTGAGTTAGCCTCTTACTTATTTTTTCTTTAGCTCGAAGTGACACATTGACACCCCAACTGCCACCACCGATGTTTGATATGGCCGTGTTCTGCCCGCCGCAGGTCTGACTGCCTACGTGCAGCGCTCGCCGGTCACCAAGGAGTGGACGCTGGAGGCCGGGGCGCTGGTGCTGGCAGACAAGGGATTCTGCCTGATTGACGAGTTCGACAAGGTATGACCTTTGTTTATAACCGAAACTAAATGTGCACCAATGAGTATGATTCACTAACTGAAGTCGCAAGTTCAGGGATAATACCATTACCATGCTTTGTTTCGAATTGCGTGCATGAATTGAAATCGCAGGCTTTGAAAAGCTGATATTTTCCATAGAGCGTGAAACTTAGAGGGCTTAGGCTGTAGAATGTAAGTCCCCGCACCATGCTTCAAGCCTGACTTCTTAATCCCCCGTGCAGATGAGCGACCAGGACCGGACGTCGATCCACGAGGCCATGGAGCAGCAGAGCATCTCCATCAGCAAGGCCGGCATCGTGACGTCGCTTCAGGCGCGCTGCTCGGTGGTTGCCGCTGCCAACCCCATCGGAGGACGCTACGACCCCAGCATGACGTTCGCAGACAACGTGAGTCGCTGGGTGATTGTGTATAATCGTAGGTAGACGTGGAGCAACATAAGCTACCACGGACAATCATTGACGTTATTTATTTTTTGCGGCATTTTTAGATCTGAGACCAGTTTTATCAACCAGTTTTATCAACCGGCTATTTTAAAAATAGCCGCCTGCCAGAATTTTTCGCCTATAGACCGCTTCATATACGGATCGTAAAAGGCAAAGCCCTATCCGCTTACGTGCCCATCGCGCTTACGCTCCGTATGTGAAGCGGTCTTAAGGCAAAAAATTCCGGAAGGCGACTATTTTTGTGTTGGTAAAACTGTCCTCTGAGTCACTGTTTTTATAGCAGCTAGCCAGTGGCTAGCCCCTGCAGTCATGCATCCATCCAGCCTGCGTCGGCACATTTGACGAATTGGCCACTATGCAATCATCGTGACCCTCGGAGCCACCTTCCGTCTGTGGTATCCTTCCTCTGTCACCGCGTGCTAATATGACCGACCGTTCCAATTTTCTCCCCCAGGTGGATCTGACTGAGCCGATCCTGTCGCGTTTCGACGTGCTGTGTGTAGTACGAGACACCGTGGACGCGGTACAGGACGAGCGGCTGGCCCGCTTCGTGGTCGGGTCGCACGTGAAAAACCATCCGCTCAATACGGAGGACGAGGAGCAGCAGCACCAGGATGTAAGTTGAAGGTGAAGGCTTTGGTCTGGATGAGAACGGTTTGCATGGTAAAAGTCCGAAATCAGAATTTTATTTTTACCATGCCGACCGATAACAGTCCCGTACTGTACGAACGATCTGTTGTTCGCTGACGAGCATCAACTATGGCGAAATATCATTCATGATTTTGCATTTTTCTTCATTTCTTACAGGACATGCCCCAGTCTGGCACGAACCTGGCCGGTCTGGAGAAGATTCCCCAGGACCTGCTGAAGAAGTACATCGCTTACGCCAGGAACCGCGTCAACCCGAAGCTGAACCAGATGGACCAGGACAAGGTGGCCAAGATGTACAGCGATCTGCGTAAGGAGTCCATGGTGAGTGACTGATTCCAGGCATTGCCAAGGATTGTTAACTCACAGAGGACTATGGGGGAACATGTCTCATGAACTTTTACCATATTTGTAAAATGTGTGTCATTGAGTCCAAAGTTTTTTTTTGGACGCCATTTAATTGCGTCCCAGAAAAGCTATTTCTGGCACCTAAAAGCTGACTCGCCCCAAAATTGGTCCTCAGCACCTATTTGGTGGATACCAGCACCAATCATGGAAAATGACCTTAATTAGCTGTTTCTGGCACCTATTCATCGGTACGCCTTACTCTTTTTCTGAATCTGGCACCTAAATGCTGAGCGTAGCACCAATCTAGTAGAAAAATGAACTACTGGCTGGTAGAATCATGTTGTTCTGGTATAATGACCCCTGGAGTCTAGCCTAAAGGTTGCCAGTGCAGCTACACTCTAAGACAGCCCCGTAGTGATCTCAGCATTGTATATGACGTCTAAGTAAGCAAATAACGGGTGTGCACTTAGTTTCTGGAAAAACTTTGTGCTGCCATAACTTTAGTGTTTGAACTTAGGTTAAGATGATATTTGGCACATATATAAATTGCAACAATAGTTAAGAGTTGTTAAAAGAATTAGGCGCTCTCTCCTCCCAGGCGGTCTAAAGCCCACGTGCTATACAGACGCCCCCTGTTGAAATTGCGCGGCACCTCCGGGTCCAGGTGTGGCGATGGCTAGCGGGTTATGGAATTCAAATAGACGCTAATATGCACTTAACATCTTTCTTAGTACTATGTTGTCTTCAAAAGTCCCCATTCGGTCGCCGTTGAGATATGTCAAGAAGATTCTCTTCGCGGCTCACAAACGGTACATGTGCGCCGTCCCGTAGATCCAGCGCTCCGCGCGCACAGTGACTGCATTGTGGTGTGATCATGATACCTATATTTTCCTCGGGTAGTGATGTTCCCATGATGTGAAAAATTTCTTTATTTAAGCACTGCTGTCAAAAGATATCGACGTCGGCATTGGCTACATAGGGCTAACATAATGATTGGATACCGCACGTGGCGATATGGCGGTCCACTGACCAGGAGATCGCGTCAAAAGTGGTCAACAGGCTAAGGTTCCACATTTTGTGAGCGCCTGCTTCTCGAGGTGGTGTTTTACCCCATCTTCGTTACATAAAATTTCCCTTTTAGGCGATCTAATTCCAGCATCCACAGGTGACTGCTTGATTCGTCTGTGCACTCAGCATTTATCGTGATAGCTTACAGATCCATGTCTCATTGCTCCTCTGCTGCTTTTATCGGCTGCCGAGTGCTGGATCATGGTATCTCTACCCATTTTGGTATACAATAGCACAATTTAAAATTTTTCCTTACAAACATGGAAAACGGGAGGACGGGGAACGTATCGGGAGCACTCACAAGATGGTGAATACCTTTTACCAGAACGAGCCTCTTCTGCTAGGGCACTTTCGCCACGAACCAACACACCTGCACACTGTGCATGTGCCACGCACTTCCCCGTGCTTGTGCTGTTCCTCTAATGGCACAAGCTTTCTTTCTAGCAATACCTAGAAAGCGCCAGTGGGATGAGAAGTTGTTTCTCTCGAATTTTTGTCATTTTTGTGAAAATTCCGCCACCCTTTCCGCGTTCATGACTTAGTTGTAAGCTCCTTTCTGTATGAAAAAATAGTCGGTTTGGTCTGCATTTTGGCATGCTCATTCCCAAATGAATGATTATTCACTATACGAAAAATTGTATTGGTAGCTTTAATACTTTTAAAGATACGGATGATCAATCTTTTTCCAGAAACTAAGTGCACACCCGTTAATATTGATTTGTTTGAAAAAAACAATGTCATTTAAGTATTTAAAAGCATTTATTTGTAATGCTTAAAGGGAAACATTTTTGTGAGTAATTGTCTCGATTTTGACCATTAAAACGGGTATTGTATTTTTTGACGTCATCAAATAGCTCCAAAAAAGAAATGTAATGTTTTCATCCCGTTCAAGGCCGCTGAAGAAACGCGGGATCTTGCGTGGGACATTGTCCGTTGTTTGCCGCGCAGAGTTGTGCCGTGGTTGTGCCTTTTTCATCCGTTTCTTACTTATGTCATATGTGTGTATGAAGCTTTGATTTTGTTTTTGGTTATTGTGTGGCCGGTCAGTCAAACGCCCCTGTAGAAACCGGATGCTGCGTTTGATCGAGATGGAGTCAGACGATGATTGCAGAAAGCTAATAATATTGAAAAGAGGGCCGGTTGCGTGGCATGTCTGTTCAGAGTTTACATTTTGCTTTACTCCAGTTTATGACCTGAGAGCCTGGCTGGAAGTGACGGATCCAAACTTTTCACGTTAAAATGGCTGAGGGTGCAATAATCTCTAGTCTCTACATAGCGGGCTGGTATAGGAGCGTCTTGCTATGCTGCACCATAGCTGGCTACGGCTAGTGATTCTCTTTTGGCTAGAAATGGCATTAATCATTATCTCCACTGGCGAAAATGGCACTTGACATCACCGAATGCAACGTTCATGTTTGTTAGGATACATAAAATCAGGAAGATTACGCGAATTAGGTAGGCAAACGTGGAATAAAATAGGTGCTGGATGTTTTGGTTTTGGTGCTGAATCAGCAAACAGCAAATACGGAGTTCAACTAGACGATCTGGCAACTTTAGGCTGTGTGGAAGCAATTAGGTGCCAGATTCAGATATTAGGGTCGAATAAGCATTTTGGGGCTGATCAGCCATTAGGTGCCAGAAACAGCTTTTTAGGGACCAGAAACAAATATTCCCCGTTTTTTTTTAGTAAGCTTATCTCTCAGTTGGAAACGCAGACAGTTCTCTTGCGACTCCGCGGTGTACAGTGTGTAATGGTACCTTTTGTTAACTATCCCGCAGCTTATCTTATTGTGCACTTTTTCTCTGACAGGCGACGGGCAGCATCCCGATCACAGTACGTCACATCGAGTCGGTGATCCGAATGGCCGAGGCCCACGCCAAGATGTACCTGAGGGACTACGTTCAGGAGGACGATGTCAACATGGCCATCCGCGTGATGCTGGAGAGCTTCATCGACACCCAGAAGTACAGCGTCATGAGGAGCATGCGCAGGGTAAGTGACGGCCCCGGAGCTGGGACCGAGTTGATTAGTTTATGCATTTGATATTTGCCTTGCCGGTGCAACTGCAGTCAACGACGTATAGGGGTTGAATCTGTAGAGGCTGGATTCGCAAATATCTACCAAGTTGACCCAATGTTTCTGTGATGCGTCTCATAGACCACACTGGACCTCTGACCACAGAAGTCCTGTGAGTGTAGAGAGGATGTTTTTATATCGGAATGTTTCCTAGCGGCAATATTCGAAGTGTTTGGTTCCAATACAGCTTAGTTATTTCCTTAGCCCAAGTGTGACTACAACAACATTTTCCCATTCGCAGAACTTCTCGCGCTACCTGGCGTTCAAGCGGGACAACAACGAGCTGCTGTTGTTCATCCTGCGCCAGCTGATTCACGACCAGGCGGTGTACCAGCGGAACCGGTACGGCACCGAACAGGAGACGGTCGAGGTCTCCGAGAAGGACCTGGCCGACCGCGCGCGACAGATCAACATCCACAACCTGCAGCCGTTCTTCACCAGCCAGCTGTTCAGCGCCAACAGCTACCGCTACGACGACAAGCGGAAGATGATCGCCCAGTCCATCTAGACGCGTCCGAAGGTGGGAGAGGGCTGTTGTGTTTGAGAGAGATACGGGGGCCAATGGCTGATGCCATAGTGTGCTGACCAATGGTCAGTTCATTTGGAGAGAAAAATGTGACCAGTTTACAAAGGAGGAAAGAACGTGCCTTCATGTACCTTCCATAGATATCTTTTGCTGATGACCTGTGGCTTGTGCTGCTTAGCAGCGTGGGCTAAACGTATTTTCAGTCGTTAGAATGCTGATAAATCCCATCAGCGCTTCGCCCAAGACGTTGGGAGGCCATCGTTTAAAGTGTTTTGTACAGTGACCATGTTTTGTAATAAAACACCGAAAGGACACGGGACATTTTATTCAGCGACTGTGGTTGTGCCAGCAAAGGACATGCGTCAGAGAGTTAGTTGAAGTCGTTGAGCTAGTTGGTGAGCCTAATGCACGAACTGTAAATGAACATTTTTCGACGTCTCATCTGGGCTGTGAGCAGCATATTAGCTGTTTTGTGATACACTGCAGGTACACAGTGGACTGTGGAGGACTAAAAGTATTAACACTTAGCGAACATCCTCTCCGTCGCTTACTTTGCCGTTCATTGACAAGACAGGGGACTTAAAATGGTGGGAACACGTGAGACGAGTGTGGATTGTGGACGCTGTCGATCTAGTTGGTTGTGTGGCCTCTGGGACTGGCGATCAGTATGACGGTGTTCCTCTCGACGAGATCGATGTCTTTCTCCAGCGCCGCCATCTGACGCTCCAGGCTCTCTTTACGGAACTGCTTCGGTAGATTGTCGATGCAGAGCGACTGGGCCGAGTATGCTTTGTTCAGAGCTGCCCAATTTTCTTTCAGGCCTTTCAGCATCTCTTGGCGCTCTTCTTCCGATATTTGCTTCGCCTTTTGAGATTCTATTGCTTCTCTCGCTTCGCGTTCTCGTTGTTCCTGTGCTTCTCGCATCTCTACGTCTCGCTTGGCTAAATATTTTGGTGTCTTACCAAAGTCTTTCTTGAATACGTATCTTAGCTTTAAACCGGATGGCTCAAGTGTGTGCTTATCGCCTCCCTTGGTATCAACATACTTACGTTCTGGCACGTAAACGTTTTGCTTTTCTTTGACTTCCTTCTTGTTGTTTGCCAAGAAGTTCTTCCCTTCTTTCTTTCGTTCCTTTAGTGAAACGGGCATTTTGTCGTCTACCAACCGTTCTGCCTTCACGATTTGCTTTGGGTGTCCTGCTGGTGTCGTCATGGGCTTTTTCGACTGTTTTCGAAGGAATTCGCACGGGTTATCGGCGGGGTAATGTTGATAGCCAAAATGAGCATGCTGCCTCTGGCTGCTTGCAATTTCTTGTTTGGTCTGATTATGAAATTTTGAAACATATTTCAGTAGTTTTGGTGGTGGCGGTGCTTTCTTCGGAATGAGGTTGCATATATTCTCTTCTCGATAATGAGCCATTTGTGTTTCCAAGTTCTGAAACAAACGAAATTGCAAAGCTGTCAGGTTTTTTGGTATTTTGAGTGCAGACAAGTGAATTATCATGTTATTCCTCGCACTAAAGGATTGGGGACAATGGGGGACATGATCAATAAACTTTAAAAGCAAACAAGCTTTATAGACAAATGCGCTTACCTTCACGTCGTGATGAGTGCTTCGAGGGCTGACTTCGGAAAAATTAGCAATCTACAAATGCTTGGCGCCTGCTCAGAACATGGCGAAGTGTAACGCGCGAGTTCGAAAACTGACTTATCTGTATTTTGACAAGGACTGTATCGAGGGCAAATACCAGTTTAGGGGTGACTTGCCTTACCATTTGAATCGGGCACTGTATCTCGGCGGCCAAGGCCCTAAATGCATATAAAGTCGGCTACCTGCGTTTGATCAATTCTTCGTTGCCATGGTTACGAGCAAGATGCCTATAAGAAACGAGACTGGTTGGTAATATTTACATTGTACGGTAAATTTTTGCTGCTCATGGGTCATCTGTTTCTGTTAATTGTGATGACTCTAGAGAGCTAATCCAAAAACATTTTCGAATTGGCTTTGCTGTTTCTAATTATTCAGGAATACGTTTGAAAAATAATGTGCATTGAAATACGCTTTGCACGGACGTGTACCAATCAGCTGTTTGTAGCATTGTTTTGTCGACAGTTATTGCGCTAAAGTATCAAATACGAATGTTCGATTCAGACTTGTTGAAGCTATCCACGGATATAGAACGTGCATATTTGTTTAAAATGTATTCTAAAAATAATATTTTGGGCAACTCTATGCATTTCTTAACACTGATTTTAATCTAAATACCGCGGAAATTCATCATTATAGTCAGTACAGCAGAACCAGAGGCAATTACAGGGACGTCGGTGAAAACAGGGCGCCGGAGGGCATATTAGTCACGTGACATTTGGAACTTCTTCCGCTCCATGGGCCTTCTATATCCCAAACGTCACGTGTAAATTTAACGAACCTTGATCAAATCGCCCCAGGCGCCCTGTTTTCACCGTCGTCCAATTACAGCTTGCGTAAACTTCAATAGTCCGCAACGAGCAAACCCTTAGAACACCCTTTGCATCCTCGACGTTGTCTAATGTCTTACACCAAGTCTTACACATTCACAAGAACTCACAAATAACTCGCATTTATAACTGAACTGGTCACAAATCTAGGAACAAAAAGTAGATCATTTTTGTGGCTTTCCCAAAGCCACCTCCTATTTATTGTGGAGTAGGTGGTACACCTTTCAAGCGTATTGGTATGTGAATTGTGGTTGCAGTCGGTTTGCTCTATGTATATCTCCTGGATTTTATTCCACAAGGTCAAAGTGTCTTAACTCGTTGTGGCCTTGGCGTCTCATCCAATTCCTTGTCCCAGACATTTCTCTTCCCGTATGGTTTTATTGACGTGAGCTTAATGAGTTTAATGCACCTTAGTGTCTTGAAGTCTTGAATATATGGAAAAAGGCGTACTGCCTGTAACTTCCATTACTCCTTACTGATTGAGTGGGTATATGGCAGAGCTGGGTAAGGATAATCGTGGGATAATAATAGCATTGTTTGACCCACTCACCTGTTTGGTTTCCTTGACTCGCCACTCGCCAGTGCATAAGGAGAGGGAAAAAACTGGGAAATATGTACTGATTCCCCTGGTCACACAGTTCAGTAGGCGGAACTATGGTCATGAGTACCCAAATATAGGAACGTTCCCATTTTTGGGAACGGAGTTCCCAATTATGGGAACGGGCGTTCCCATTTATGAGAACGGAAGGCAATTTTTCGGCCGTTCGCCCACTAAAACTCAAAAGTGCATCACGTCTCAAAAAAGTGCACGCTGATTTAAGTATCTACTAAATCTCCATAAAGTTATCTTTAATCTGACCGTGGAACAAGGAAATTGACCGTGGAATGATATTTTTAATGATTTTTTAAAAATGACAGAATGGTGGAAATATGGGTTATACGACATTTAACATGCAATTTTAAGGAAAATGAAGCATTTTTTACATTTTGAGGTCAAGTATAATAATTTTCGCCTGGTTATGAAGTTTCATTCTAGCGACACCAGATGCTGACATATGCAAGCGAACACGCGGACAGTCCCGAGGTAATATTGTTGACTTTTGGTGTCGGGGCGATCGACCGCGTGAAACGTCAGTGATTTTACCGAACTACTGTTGTAAACTCAGTTTCAGTGGTTTAAAATCATTCAGCTGTATTTTATCAGCCCTGAAAGACATATTTTATTTGGATGCTAGCTGTTTAGCGTTGTTTTATAAGCAGCGTCATGAGCGTGGTTTTTGTCTTCGGCGTTTCTAAGCATGATCGTTAGGGGGGAATTTCTCTGATATAGGTCGCTCTGTGTGGCTTATTTATAATTTTTATGCTGATTTCGATCATTCCTCGTGCCCATCCTACCAGGCCTTTTGCCACTTACACTCATTAAGAAAGGAAAAAACTAGATTTTCATTGGGACTAGGTGTTTTGAGGGTGTAACATATTCAGCGTTCCCATTTTTGGATACTTCTTGTGCTCGTCAACTCTCGGTGATTAGCAGACAGGTGCTTGACATGTCTCCACCCTCGGCGCGGACGGTGGATATAGGTATGGAAGACCTTGTTGAACATCGCTGAGCGTTGTGGATTACGTAATCCTGCAGAGGGGGGCGTGCCCGCTGCGAGATCGACGGGAATAAAAGCGCAGAAGACCGGAGGGCTGTTCACGGGCCCTGTGTGCGGTCGGACCGCACACAGCCTCGAAGCTCCGCCCACTGCGTCCCTACGTCAGCCTTCCGTCACCGCACACAGCGATCGCTGTGGCCGGTCGGGACTGGCCACAGCGGACCGTCCACCGCACGCAGCCGTGACGTCAGAACCGCCTACCCATCCCCTACCCCCACGCCTGCTGGACGCACCGCACACAGCGCACGCAGCAGTGTGCGGTGCCCGTGAACACCCCTCGGGCGAAACATGCAACGGTCTTGCCGGAAAGGTCATCTGATGATTGTTGCGTTAACAATAATTTGCGGCGTTGGACGTGATGCTTGTTAATGAAAAGAGCCCCTGAAAGGCGTCGGTGAAATCGTTCCCAAATTTGGGTACGCCGTTCCCATAATAAGGAACGCTTGCAGCGCCAGTGTACGAGAGCGTTCCCAAATTTGGGCTCGCGGCCCGGGTGATGGACTGCTTTAGAAATAGGGGAACGATTTGAAACTACGATGGGCCTTACAATATCAAACTCTTTCCCAACAATATTGAGACAACTATCAGGCGGTTCACGATCGTTTTATATTTTTTGGACGTCATTTTACGGTTCTTTTTCTTGTTTTAAATAATGCCTACATGGCGTTCCCATATTTGGGTTTATCGTTCCCAATTATGGGAACGAAAATGCGTTCCCGAAAATGGGTACGCTTGACCATAGTTCCGCCTACTGAGTTCATGCTGCAAAGGTACCTACCTATGGCTTGCAGGTTGACGAGGCGGAGGCGCACCTGCTTAAGTCCAAAATCCACACTGATTCTTCAAATAGAGCTGGGAAATCTGCACTGCTGCTCCCACCAACTGCAGACCAGCTCTGTCAGGAGTCAAATATTGGATGAGTCGATTTGATTGAGTTGCGACTTGCACTGGAGTGACTCAAACCCAGGCTCGTCACTATGGGGAGTCCTCCGTGACGCTCTACCAACTGAACTATGGGGTGGGCAGTGGTCTGGTTGGTGAAAGCAGCTGCTGCCAAGTGCCAAGTGCCATGAGGCATGATGGCACATCAATGATCAAAGTTTTCAAAGTAACTACATTGCTTAATCTGAATTTAGGAATTGGAGCCACAGCCTGTACAACAAATACTGCTCAGTGGTGGCTGTGGCTCTCTCAGTCTGCTTATATAAAATTCAACCTAAATGTAATTGGTGTTACACACACACAAGTCAAGTGCATTTAAAGGAACCACAATAATGTTATACTACTGAAGAAACAACAATATCACAGCTGACTTTGGATATGCTGCTTATGCTGACCTAACTGTTACCCTGGTTATGAATGGAGTTGACACTTGACAGTTCAACAGTTGGTGAACTTTGTACCATTAGACTGCCAGTAAAGCAAATAGCTTAATTGTGTCAGAGGTAATTTCCTGAAGAGATGGTGTAATGTCATTAAATTGACCTGTATGAGATGTGATAGATGTTACTTACCTATTGTATACCTTTAAGTGGGTGAGGGTTTTACTCTTTATATTTGTTTTGCTATGTTTTATATGTTTTATATGTTTTACTCTTTATAGATATTCAGTGGATGCTACTTTGCTTCTCTGTTGATGTGTAGTCTACCCCTCCCCCAATGAGTAAAAACATATGTCATATACATGTATAGCTAAACCTGTTTTTCTTCCTGTTTCCTGTTTTCAGGATGATGGTGTCATAGGAATTCCTGCATAGTTTGAGGCTGGATCACCCAGCCATGCTAATAAAATTGAAACATGACAAGTGAAAGAGGCACTAAGGTGTGCAAGTCTGGATTCTGGAGAAATCAAGGCTTAGAAAGTGCTAATAGCTGGTCAAATATAGCTGTGCTTTTTCTGGCCTTTACAGTTATTCTCCTGCCTGCACCAGGGGTGGCATTTTTACCCAGTAATGGCTCTTCACTGTTCAAATCAATTTTAGATTTTGGCCATTCACTCATGAACTCAAAACGACTTTTTGAGAGTGCAGTAATTGCTTCCAAGAAATCTGCAAATTATATGCACTTTCATGATGATGTCAAAAGCAAAATGCAAGAGGAGACTCGGAAGATGTTTTACTTTGGTTATGACAACTACATGAGGCATGCCTACCCCCAAGACGAATTGAATCCGATCGACTGTGATGGAAGAGGACCAGACGTCGACGATCCGTAAGTCCGATTCACTATCAAACGGGGAAAATCTGTGTGGCTTGCCAATTTTGTCAATAACTTTTTTCTCAGTTCATGAGCTGATAAAAATGCAATATCCTTCCAGCTAGTGTGCTACCAAAACATTCGCAAAAATTATTTTTGAGATCCTTCTACGGACAATTAAAATACCGAACGGGACAGTGCGATAATCTGACACTGTGCCTCCGCCCAGGTCAAACCTGAACATCAACGACGTGCTGGGCGACTTTTCGCTGACGCTGGTCGACACGCTGGACATGCTGGCGGTGGTGGGAAACGCCTCCGAGTTTCGGCGCGCCGCGCAGCTCGTCATCGACAACCTCTCCTTCCACAAAAACTCCACCGTGCAGGTCTTCGAGTCCAACATACGGTGGGTGGTGAGAAGAGAACTCGACCGATACGGGGGCGGGGTGTGGGGAGAGGTGGGGATGAGTGGGGAAGGGGTCGGGAGGGGTCGTGTTACGGGTTCTGAGCGCACCCGGGATGTTCTGGGAGGTCGTGTTTGGTGTGGTGACGTGTGTCAGATGTAGGCACGGCGCATATCAGCTTGAGCTCGAGACTGGCTCGATTGGTATCGTTTTGGCTTGGTCTTTTACTCTTTATATTTGGAGTTCGTTTTTTTTTTTGTGGAGCGATTAGCATTCACTTTTCGTATGACGCACGAGTGACTTAGCAGTGTATTTAACATTTATGTCATCATTTCGTCGTCCGGCGGCCGCCATCTCACTTACCTCCCATGTCCATATTTATATCTCACAGAGTGCTGGGCGCCCTGCTA